AGGAGAGAAATGTCATCCAGCCCAAGCAGACCGAGGCGTTCAACAGTTCAAACCGCAAAACACCATCAGTCTGGCGCGGTTAGTCCCCTTCCATTCTTACCTAAATCGGGGAGAATCCTTGATGCAGTCTTCAAAATCAACCGTCATCTTGGATTTGGTGAGGAGTTTCCACACGATTTAAAACACGGACTGCATCTCCCGAGTGGGTTGAAGTACACAGATGGTAAGTATCCGACAGAGAGCGATCCTCCTGCCCCTTCAGCGGCGGTTTACTCACTGAGCGCCACTCTGACGATCCGAAGCGGCTCCACTCAATGCAAGACACTCTGCTGCGTTCACGACAAACTCGTATTTTAGAACTCCAATCTTAAACCACTAACCATATGTGGTTAGTGATTTAAGATTGTATTTATTATGTAAATATATATCTTAGTTGTAGAGGAAATAATGTCAGTTGATACAAATACCAACTTATTTTAAAATATTACAAATTAAAGTAAAATTTAAAATAAATATATATTATCAGACTGTCGGTATACAGATAAATTTAAGGTTGCATCTAGACTGTGAGATTTTCAAAGTGTTGCTCTAGTTTTGTCTTAAAATAATACTGATTTAATAAAATTACAACGTGAACACATATTATGTTGGAAATAAGGTTTCGGATAGGATTTGAAAGCAACATTTTAGAACACTGACGTCAAACTCATTTGAATAATAACAGTTTTGATTTTCCACACCTTTTCTTTTTATTATTATTATTATTATTATTTATTTATTTTTTTTATTTTTTTTTTTTTAAAGTCAGACATTAAATGTATGCTTTGGCACTTCAACATCTCCAATAAACAAAGCATGTGTGCTCATATCCTTTTTTACTGCCTTACAAGCTGAGAAATCTTTTCTTTCACTCACTGGCAGGTCAAAGAGCACTTTATATAAACTTTTCTTCCCTCTGTACTTTCCCAGCGGTGAAGATGTACAGTGATGTTATAGTGAATCATTTTCCCTGGAAAGATTACCTTTATTTAACAGGACGAAGGACAGCCAAGAGGAAGTGCAGGAGCTTGGGATTTTACGGACTGGGTCGCTGGCGTCATTTTTCCTTCCTGTGCCTGTTTGAGGTCATGAAGGGAAAAGATTTCATTGACTTTCAGACAGATTTATCATGACCAATGTCTCCACTTGCACAACCATGTTTATGACGAATAACATGAATTTCATAGACAAGGATGTTTTTTTCAAACTACAAATTATTATTACTAATTTAATTAAATTGCTTAAACCTTTTGATGGATCCTGAAACACGGAGGAGAAAAAAAACAGAATTTTTTTGTTGTTGTTCTCTTGGAAATGAATATTGCAGTTCTCAGATTCTTTTTTATCAATTGGTGTTTGAAATTGTACATGAAACTATTGTATATTGTCCCCACAGTTATTTAAGCTATTTCAAGTTGCCCACTTTTCATACAGTCATGTACAAGGATTTCTGTGCCAAACATCACAATAGACGTCTTCTTATACATTAGTGACTTGTGTTAGTTTCTTAAAAGACAAAAGAAGAAGAACAGCTGGGTTTCTTTTCACAGAAACCTTTCTGAGATTATTTGTACACTAATTACAAATTGGTCAAACGAATCAATCAAGAACTAAATAAGCAAAATAATAATCTAAGCAATCCATATTGTATTTTTTCATTTTGAAAAGAAAAAAAGAAAAAGAAAGCTTTTACTTTTACGTTTTTATGATAATAAACATCTTTATTATCATAAAATAATTTTTAAAAATGCTTGTAATATTTCCTTTACTACAAATCTATTTTGTCACAAGTATTATGTGTGTAGTTCTTTAGTTGATTCAACTGTGAAACTGTTATACTGCCGTTTAACTACTCTCAGCTACTTTTACAAATCTGAGATCAAAGCCTTTTTAGAAGTCTGTTGAGTCAGCAGTTGGCTGAAGCTAAAGTGCAAGCTGCAGCAGAAAAAAAAACTTAGCAGCAAAGTTGGTTGTCAGCATTTAATCAACACAGTTATGGATTTTATTATTACAGTACATGATCTATGGATGTATCACATAGGAACTCTGTGTTGTAACAGAAAAGTATTGCAATGGAGTCTGTGTATAAATTGCTACATGATGCAAACTACTGACAACAAAAGGAACAGCTTTCCTTTCCAAAATGGGACATGTGTTGAGGATGTGCTCAAGTGATTTGGGTGTCAAAGTAAATATTTCTCTAATTTCAGATCCATTTTAAGTAACTGGATGAGTACAATGGGTTGTACAAATTCAATCTTTCACCACTTTAATAGTTTGTTTGGGGAGGTGTGAATGTGTAATTGAACTCTGGTCTCAATTTGATTTGAAGTGAACTCTGGCACAGTTAGAACTGTGTATGTGAATGCAGAGCGGACCGGACAATGCTCCAATCGCAAAAAGCAGACTACCATGCAGGGCATTCTGGGTAAGTACAACAAATGTGAGTCTAGCGCTAGCTTGAGACATTGCTCATTTTCTTTTACTGATGTCACCATACATTTTTGTTTACATTTTGTGAAAAAGGAACTTGCACTCATGTCTTCCTCTGAGGTTTTCTTATCATATCCTGTAGTTCTTGGTGCAGCGCCACCACAGTCGAGAGGGGAAACAGGTTTTCTTATTAGTTTGTATTGGTTGACACAATGCAGTTGAAAATGTCACAAATGTTGCAGCTATGGTCCCCAATCAAACCGAGTCTACGGACTATCGGGTGTAAAAAAAAAAACAAAAAAAAACCTAAGATTATATCTGTGGTACTATTGGTGTCCACCAATATCTGAAATATGCTGTGTGCCTTAGTGCATGAGGAAGAAAGGCTTTGAATGTCAAATATGCTTCCATCAGAATCCTGCCTCCTATAGCCATCCCAAGCACCACTGCAGCACTGAATCGCTGAGAAAAACATATGGGCTTGGATGGTGACCTACTTTTGTTCCCTTCTTTAGTCTGCTGGAGAGAGCTGCAAGTCTAACTGCTGGGTGTGCAGCATCTAATGTTATCCCTTCTGACTGAAGGTGCAAGACAGTACAAGTCACAAATTAAGCCTGTAACGTCAGATAAGTAGTATGCATTATGCATGCATTCCCATGTCCTTCTAAAACAACATATCTGAAATAGTCTCAAAAATTTATGTTGATCTCCCGCCATGGTGCTCCCATCAGCTTTTGTGTGATGCTGCTTGGAAAAACAAATCAATTGGACAGGAAGGGAAAATGATCTCAGTTGTCTTGTGTGCGAATTAAACCGTAAATATGAAAACAGTCACATAGCAAATATGTGACTGTCTGGTCTTGCTTCAGTCATTTCCCTATGATCTGCAGCCGGGCTAATTACTATAAGAAAAAAAATACTGCTCAGTTTTTCAAGCATTCAGATATGAAGGGAATCTAGTTACAAGTTGTCCAGTTCTGCTTTTGACTGATTTCGTTTTGAAACCTTCCTCACAAAGTCACAGTAATACACGTGTTTTTGCACTTTAAATCAGTCACACATTGTTCTGTACAGCCTCTTTATAATGAACAACCCACATATCATCTGACTTTCAACTGGAGCTCCATTAATTTAGATGTAACAAACTTTTCCAGATCCCATTTTTTTGACTCCGAAGACAAATAGAAAACATCTCCACACTTTTTGTAATTCCTCTGGTCTTGTATAACAGGGGGATGTTTCAGTTTACATCTGAAAAAAATGCACCAAACCCATAAAGAATGAATGTAGTACCCTTTTAAGACAGGAGACCTCATTAACCACTAAATGAGCACGACAACCCCAGTCTAATGTCTTGATATTACTTATTTAAATAAGATACATTCTGCATACTGGGTCACACCCCAAAGGCAGTTGACACATGACCTTTTCTGAATGTGAGACTGACATTGCCCGAAGCTGTTTGCACTCAATGTAAGATCACTGCTGTCTTATTTAGCATTCCTGCCCAAGTGCATTAGCAAGAGTAACTCCTTTAAACTACAGACCAAGACATTCCAGATGCAAGACAACAGAGCTATTACCATTCAACTCTACAGCTCTTACTCTGCAGCATCTCAGGCTTTTTGGTTTAAATTCATCGCCTTTGACAGATTTTATTCACTTGTTAACATGCTATATAATTTTGACATGTTTATTTCATCTATATAAAAGAATATAGCTTTATCCTTCATAGTAAATGCTTCAAACCTTTTCCTTTTAGATCTATTAATGTCAGTGCATTCAAAGCACTCAAATTAATTTCCTTTGACATTGCCCCTTTTTTCTAAGCAGAAATACTTCACCAAAGTACTTGTCATTCAACATTTATGAGCCTCAGCTTGAATTAAGCTCACTTTCTTAACATGGTTCACATCAAAGCAAGCATGTGCAGTGAAGATCATTTGAAGGAAACAGAAAAATCTCAACACATTAGCAAAAAAAGAAGCGAGACAAACATGAATGCTCACAATCACATAAATCATTGGAGTAGCTTGCAAAATAGGTTAAAGAAGAGATTTGTTACTCTATCATGAAAAATTAAAGGCTAAGAAGTTAGTATGTTATTAAATATAAAAGACAAATCAAAAGCTAACTTGTTAAAACAGTCTGAGACTTAACAATACAAATCGATTCAAACCTCCTAATGCTCTGCGTTTGACTTGAACTGTTGGCAATCCGAGATTTTGTCAGGATGTCAAAAAGGACGACATGGAAGAATAAACAAAAGAAATATTCCTCAGGAAGCCTCTTATGCTACATCAGCATGATAAAACTGAACCGGCCCCAGAAAGCAGGTCATTCAGTCACAAAGGCCGACTCAGAGTCAAAATCCTGCCAGCAGGAAGGCTGACCTCTCCAGTAACATAAAATGCTCTAAAGAAGAAAGGATTATTCATAAATGACCAGAACACAACACTTTCTATTAAAAACGCTCTAAATTATTTGAAAAATAAGAAACACACCAAGTCAAGTAAATTATACTTTACTACAATTTATTCAGACAATAAGCTGCTAAAATAACTTGAGTGGGGCACAATATCCACAATACACATTTAAATTTGTATTATTTTTTATGTATAACAGGCAACTGCAGAAACCCAATTGAAGGGTTTAAGATGCTTATGAATGCAACTTAAGGCCTGTATCTCCACTGAAATGTCAGGAATTGGTGAAGTCAATTGATGATAGATGACCCACAAGACACACAACACCCCCCCCCAAAAAAATAAAATAAAATATATAAATATATTTATTTATTTATATATTATACAGGATAGTCCTGTAATTAATGTATGTAAGGCCAACTTACTGTTTTTTTTTTATTAATGCAGACACCTGGCATTAATGGATGAATTCACATAGCTCAACCAGTTTGATAGTATTTCTTCTAAAATATTACAAATTAGAAATTTGTGTTTTTTTCAAATGTTTCTATGGTGTTAAAAAAACAAATTAGTCTCACAACAGCTTGAGGAGCAGACAGGAGTTCCTGTCTGTTTTTTCAAAGTACTAAGAAAAGAGGGACATTTTCTGTATCAGTTCAGATGATGGAACATCTTGCTTTATGATTTGTCCAGCACATCGTATTCATTCATTTCTGCTAAACTGGCCAAAGAAAGTCAACCACAGTTGTTTTTCCAGCAGATGTTATTTTGAGAGAAAGTAGAGCAGGAAGAGCTACAGGCTTGTTGACTTCCCATCTCCTAAAACAAAACAGACACACACATGCCGTCCACATGAACAAAGCTACATCAGAGTTTGAATAATTTCACCAATATTATTATCATCACAAGATTTTCTCTAATTTATTTTTTACCTCGCAAGACATTTTTTTTGCTAACCACTTGATGTGCAGTTGATTTATTCATCAAATGATACTTTGAGGACTTCATTGGTCAGATTTAAGTTCAAAGGAGATGTGAGCATGTCTCCAGGAGATTATGGGCAAACACAGAGACGAGCGTTGCTAGGCAATGAGACGAAGGAAGATCACAGGGCTTGCTTGATATTGGAGTCTGATGACTCCCCACAACCTTAGGGATCTGATATCTATGCCACAGGGGCTTTACTGCATCTTAAAATTCACGTGGCTGAGTATCAGGCCCTTCACTGTTCATTCAATGCCTTGCCAAATGTTTGAGATCAAACTGTTTGCAAATTGACTATTAACTAACAGGTGGTTTCTGGGGGTAATTGGTTAAAATTACCCCACAGAAGTTGAAAACAAGAATTCATTATTGTGGATCCAGTAGCAGAGGGCTAAGGAGGAAGATCAAACCATCTCTTCCATCAATCATAATTGACCAATAGTGTACAAGTCCTCTTCTCTTTTGTAGTCTTAAAAGTCACAAAGTTTAAAACACAAATATTTAAACTGGATCTGATAATAGTCTGATGATGTTTTGTTTTGTCAAAATATTTTTATAAATTTTAGAGCAAAAGCAAAAAAGGCACCAATTGAGGGGTAAAGTTGAAGACTATACTAGGATGAGTGTTGATAAGTCTATTAATAGCATTAAATAAAACACAAAAAAAAAAACAAGAATGAAAAGTTGAAAAAAAAGTAAAGCTGCAGATTTAACAAATGTATTAAAACTAAACAAAAAGGTTCATTCAGGTTCAGTCTTTTTAACATCTTGACGCAATGCTGCCATCTTGTGGCCACCTATGCTGGTACCATTTCTGGGTACAAGGTAAGTCTTCTCAGGCACTGAATGTTGAAAAACCTCCTTCCCTTGTTGGTTCTTCAAGCTACAGTCTTTCTTCTTTTCTTTTTCTTTTCTATGAACCAAAAACAAAGAATTTTATTACATTTCATGAAAGTGAGTATGTTGCCACAGGAAGGAGTTAGTTAAAGTTTGGTGGATTACTTACTGTCTGAAGTCGTACTGACACCTTGAAGATTTTCAGGTCCTTCAGTTGTTACTGGAGGCTTTGATGCACATATAAGGTACTTAGGAACATGCTGGGAAAAAAAACCATTTTTAAAGCAGTTTTACAGTTATATAGTTTAGGAAAATATGGCATGTTTGAACCATTTTATAAAAAATCCACAAATTTAAATTCCTATTTAACAACACATTTACTTTTAACCACAACACTAAGATTTGTCAGAAATGTGAAATAAATCAGATTTAAAATTCTTGATAAATTTGCTCACATTTTTGCCTTAGAAGTTTAATCTTAAACTCACTTAAGTAATGTATTTCTATAGTCAAGCAGCTGTGTTATCTATGTTCAAGCACTAATAAAGAACATGGATAGTGACATAAAAGTAAACAGATCAATGAAACAAATTTTCATTACAAGGTGTGGAGTTAACTTATGGAATAACCTAAAGAAGGAATAGTACCTTACATCAATGAAAAAGAAACTTAAAATATGCAGTTGAATAAGATATACATTTCAATGCAACACATATATTTCAATAAAATATAGTCAAATATGGTGTATTAAGCATGGCTGCTAGCGGAACAGGAATATTTACTTCATCTTATTGCCCTTAAACAGCCCACAATGTTTTTCTTTAGCTTTTTTCTGTCAATATACGTATGCATTACATTTTAATTTTGTTTGCTAAATAAGTATTTCACTTTATTTTGCATTTGAATTTTATTTATAAGAATCAGAATGAACTGGGTTGAATACAAACAAATGCCACATGTTAAAATTGTTATTTGTATATATATATATATATATATATATATATATATATATATATATATATATATATATATATATATATATATATATATATATATATATATATATATATATATATATATAATATCAAATATAAAACATCTTATAATAATTTTTTGTTCCTTTTCACAATGAGGCACTCTTCCTCAACAAAAAAATACATGAAAAATTGGAGGTGCTAGTGTAAAAAAGGGAAAAAGTTCAAGAGGTATAAGTACTTTTCAAAGATACTGTAAACAGAAATGAGTCTCGGTGAAGCTGCAGCAGAAAAACAAGAAGGTGTTTCCACAAAATTTACCACAACCATGGGTAACTGTGAGACACATGAGGCTTCACAGGAAGTGTGGGTAAGCACCATGCAGCTGCTTTTATAGTCGCAGAGTTCTATACAGTGCAGAGCACTGTATAGCACTGTATAGTGTTTTTAACTCACTGCATTTCTATCTGACTCGTTTGATTCCCGTTGCTCCTAGACGTTTAACAAAGCTAATAGGCAAGCAAATATGACAGATGTGCACATCCGGAAGAACTTTTGTAACTTATCATAGAGAAAAAACTCTAGAAAGATATGTGTGTGTATTAAAAATTACCTGTAAAGATTTTTCTAGCATCAACTGTCATGTGATGCTGGATTTGAGTCTCTTGACAGCTGCACAAACAAGATGCTTAAATGAAGTTTAGATCTCAGTCTGAGCCACCTCAATATTCTATGTATAAGGAAACCACAGTATTATGGGTAGTTATTGATGAACACTGATAGTAATAAAGTAATGCGTCACTGATGCATCAGTAACGAACAGCAAAAGCCCACCAGCACTTTTATTGTAAACGCTGTAGCATCTCATTATCCTAAGATCATTATCATTATCATGAGATGCTATGAGATGTTTTCAGCACTTGAGTAAAAAGCCATGACAGAGTAACCAAGACATTCATATTTTTCACCATTGTATATAGATACCTTTAATTTTTTCTAGTTGTTGGGAATCTAAAATTCCACTCAGAAATGTAGGAATTCATCTGTAACTAATGTATGAAGTGTGTTTTGGAAAATAAGGCTTAAAAAACTCTAAGCCTTAGAGTACTAAGTCTTTTCCTTTTCCCATACAAAAAGTTTTTGTAACTTTGTTAATTAAAACTAGCCAGCTGACAATAATTAATACTGTTGGGACCACGATTGTTTTTAAAATATTGACAAATTTCAGCTGGTTTCTTGGCTGTAGATGTCTTTCAACACCTTCTATTTTACTTTTCTATGCATTTGTCCACTTCATTAAACAGAGCTTAACAGACCACACTTTTATGTCTTTGTTTGTGTGGATAACTTGGATTATATCTTAAAAAATTTTTTAAATATATTTACTAATAAAAATGTTGAAGTGCTCAGTACTTATTTTAAGATAATTTTATTAGTTTCCTATAGGAAAAATTTTTCTTGGAAGCATGGTGCACAAAAAAGCCAAAGCAAGTATATTGTTCCATCCAGTTGGTATAGGCAAGAAATTTATGCTACTGCAATCAAACAAGTAATCCTATGTATCCACATCTCCCCTGGTTTGGAGGAGTGTAGTAATCCCCTATGATGTAAAAAGATGTCACCCAACTTTTTTAAAAAAGAATCAGATACTCTACATTTTAATGTTAAACTCACCCATGAGGTTTCCGGGCGTCGATACAGACTGGTGCTTTCTCCTCTGCTCTGGAGCCTCACGCTCCACCGTCTTTCTGTGACGTTGCTAGAACGATTCACAGTGGATGCCCGGAGGCGACTACTTGTAGACGGAGGTTGGTCCATGTCAGCAAGGAGGTCTGTGACTTCTCCATCACTGATGTCTTCCTCCTCTGCCATAAAGCTCTCTGAACAGAGACATTTCACCAAATTAAGTTTTTTTTCTAAGTCTTTGTACTCGGATAGCTGCTGCTGACAACGTAAAATTGCTTTTGAAACCTTGATGATATTGTGTATGTTCATGGCTGTAACATCTACCAAAATAAATGAAGACTAATCAAGTGTTTTATTATAAATTTATTACCACTATTAAAGCATGTCAAAATGCTTCAATGGCGAAAGGCTAATTGGTCCCCAACTGAATCACTTAAACCTCCTATTATTCCATCATAACACACATTATGAAATGTGAAATGAGTAAATAATAGCAACAACAGTAAATTGGCGATCAACTTAATCATCAAATAAATACCTGTGTTCTTAGAAGTGATCACACACTCGGGGCACATCCAGTCTCTTTCAGGGACTATGTCTAAAGGCGGCGTTAAGCAGTCCATGTGATACCTGCATTATCATGATAAATTAGCTTTTTACTTATGCAAACACAAAAATAAGAAAAAAAACTATTCAGGTAACTAATGTAGTTACCCAGAGTCACAGAGTCTGCAAACCAGCAGTCGGTCTGTGCGGCCGCTGCGCCCACATTCCTCGCAAATTACTATGTTTCTCCAGTCCTCTTCAGTCTCATCATCATTTCTGCGTGGCATCACTTTTAACTATAGGCAGAGAAAGGACCAAAAGTGTCAAAATACAAAAAGTAAATTAGTCCAATAAAGATATAGACTTCAAATTCAAACACAATTGAAAATACATAGACTGAAAAAAGCATTTGTAAAGTTATTAAAATATTTCAAAAATAAAATGCCAAAATTATTGTTTAAAATCTAATTAGACTGAAGAAATTTGAAAATATTTGTTGAATTATTTCAGAGTCCTGTGCAGGAGAATTTTAGAAAATAAGTAACTTAATCTCAGCCTTTCCCATCAAATTCAACTGGTGGGATGAACAACTTAAACAAAATGCCGATATAAAGAAAATGATTGGGGAATGATTATTTCAGGAATATACCACAAATTAAGTCTGAAATCATTTGCATTTAATAAATCACTGAGACAATTCTATACACATTTTCATTTACTTTCTCAATACATTTCTTTATTAACACTCAAGTGTTACTTTTTTTTAACCCTTTTGAGACTTCAAAGCTTAAGAAAGAAATACTTCATCAAACACACCTTCTTCTGAATGTCCCCTCCAGGACACCGTCGCTGGTGGATAAAAGCAAAGCTGATCCGATCTACAGGGCATGTGTTGGCTGTCTGAAATGAAAAACAAAACAGCAAAAAATTATTTTACCCAATGCTCAGCACCTCGGCTTCACGTGACAGAGCCATAGGGTTTTTTATCAAATGTGAATCGTCAATAGTGACAGGACAAGTTGATGAGATTTTTAAAACACTGAGTTTCTTTGTGAGATGTTTTCAGCATCCATAACTTTAGAGCCCTTTACCCCGTTATTATTTTTGGCATGACCAGCACGACGGTGGTGCAAATATCAGCTGGAAAAATCTAGACAAGCATATAAACACATAAAAACCTGTGAACAGTAATCGTTAGTATTTACCTGAGACCACTGGTAGATGCACTGAAAACAAAAAAAGTGAGGGCATTGATCCAATGAGCCCACCGTTTGCTTCTCAAATGGACAAAGGCAGATGTAGCATTTATCCACTATGGCGTCAACAGTTTCTCCATCAGCTGAGTTTAAAGCGACGAGTTTATTCATTATGGTTTCTTCAAGCGAAGTAACTGGCCGCAAAACACAAGTTATATTTTACTCAATGCATTAAGTCTTTAATAATGGATTTCAATAAATTACGAGGAGTGTTAGAGAATTACAACAAAATACAATTTTGTGTTTTGCTATAATGCTAATACTGGCAAAGTAGCACTAGTGATGAGCTGTAAAGTTAGGTAATGCAATAAAATCATGAGATGTTTTCCACTTTTAGCTTAATGTTATTGTACTCAAAGAGCACATTTTAAATATAAGTAACTTATATACAGTTATATAGTTTTATAATAACGGGAAAACTGACCAAACAAAACCAACACGAGAACGAGACGATTTAAATAAAGCATTTGCTGCTACACTGTTGAAAACTTCCGGTTTCATTGTTGATTTTGATTTTCAGAGTAAGAGCATTTTCAAAATAAAATTCAATAAAACAAAAATTAAATAGCATAAAATAGTACCATAAAATGAGTACATGTCAAATCTAAAAAACAATTTGAAAAAGTGGCCAAACTTCTGAAAGTGGAAGATCAAAACAATACATGGTTTTTGAATTCTAAAACAAAATAACATAAAACTATCAAAATACAAATAAATGCATCGTTAAGGATATTTTAAATCACTAAAAGAATAAGAAATTTGTTCAAGTGGAGTAATAAAGGTAATATGGTCCTAAAATAACATAAACTAGCATCAAAACATAAACACATGCATCGGTTAGCTTTTTCTATGTTACCAACAAATAAAAGTCTGCAAACTTTGTGGGAGTAAAAGGAAAAGGATGAATATTTCCAACTTAAAATAAAAATAGATAAATAGTCCCTTTGAGAAAGTACTTTGTATGATTGTTGTTAAAACAGCAAATATTTTGGTGTTGTCTGTGCACACTTTGAATATTTAGACTTTTGTTTTTCCTTCACCAAATAGTTTCAATTGAACAGAGATTTTAATTAAATTATTTTGATTTAAATTAGTTCAAAGAAAAATGCAAAAAAAATCTGTCTACAAATTCATCCCAAAGCCAGACTTTTAGTGAAGTTATTGAAACTGCAGAAAATACAAAAGAGGTGTGCTTTAGACGTCAGATCCCTCCAGTTAAAATGTTAAAGTTCCTGGCATTCCTATTTTTAAAAAAAATCAATCTACTTTAAAAAGATGCATAAATATCTCACTCTAACAATGAAGGAAAATAAGAGATATCCAAAAGAAAGTATGCAAGTTTTAAAGCAAAGTTATTTCATTTTTTTTAAAAAAAAGGTGGAAATGCAACATATTGAAGAAAGAAATAAACTGGGCCACAAACCCCTTCCACCAGTAAGACCATTGAAGATGCTGGGCTTACCAGAATGACAATGACCACACTGCCAGGACAACTAAAGAGTGGCCCAATAACAAGCATTTTAAGGTCCTGGAGTTTCCAAATTCCAGGACCTGTTACCTAGTAACAGCTCAGAGACCCAAAAGTCTCCAGACCTTCGAATATTAAGTTCTGTTTTTTAATTGCATTAAATACTTACTTTTCATAGTAAAATGGAAATCATTTATTTTTTATGATGAGAAAATAACAGAGCTTACCAATTTTATAATTTGTCCTTGTGAGAGGAATTGAAAATGGTGCATTTGTTTTTGTTTTTTCATCATGAACTTCTGAATTAAATAACTTTATGATTGCTTTCCGATGTTTAGTTTAACCACAAAGAATTAAAAATGAAGATTTTCCTTTACCAGTGAGCAAAAGAATATATATTTTATAAGATAAAATATAGAGGTTACGAAACAATATAGACAATTTTCCGATCAATGTTTTCTCAAAATTATCCTGACTTTTTATTAATAATGAACTGAGAAGTCCTCTGGTCACTTTTAGAACACAGTAATGCTATAAATAACATTAGAAACAAAACACATGCTGTGGGTGGCTGACAGCTTCTTCACAGACTATAATTTCCCCCTCATCACAGTACATTTACACACTGAAACAGGAAGCTGCACCAAAAAAGAAAGCAGCAGCTTATGTTCACACTGCGCTTAGAAAAGCAGCAGGTCTTATCACGTTTTTTAAATTTATGGTCAAGCTTTATGGATCTGCCGGCTTTAAAAATCTGAGTAAGTAACTTTATCACTCAATTTTCTTGATGTTTTAAATGTCACCTCAAACAAGCAGAGATGTTTGTTAAACACGTGACAACGTGATGGATCTGATAAAGTCAATTAACTATGGGTTAAAGTTTGTGCAAAACTTTAAAAGTATTTCAACACATATCTAAAATAACACTGCTTATTTCTAAATAAGCAGTGTTATCCAGGAATAACATTCTGTCTTTTATACCTGTGGCTTTCCAGCCTCGTTTCACTTCATTCTTTACACTGCAAGTCCTCAAATGGACCTGAAAATAATCGCAATCTTTTTTTTGTTTTAATGAATTTAACCTTGACTGTATTTGTGGAGTCCATATAAGATGTTCTAAGAATAAATTCATCAGTAGTTTATATTTTTTCAAGGGGTTGGTTGAGTTGTTATGTGAAAGCAGTAATGGAAAAACTGAATACAAATAAATCTCTTGTTTCCCTTACAGGAGACGTTGGTTTCTGAAAATCAACCTGTAGTATTTTTCTTTAAAAAACTGGTCAGAACATAGTAAAAGACATCCATCACAATTTCCCATGATGAACCAGACAAACTGCGCCGACCCAAAAGCAGAATTCCAGTACTATCTCTTCCCAACGGTCTACATCCTGGCTTTAATTATAGGCCTTCCGGGAAATCTGGTGGCTCTGTATGTCTTCACCATCCGGATCAGTCCTCGAACGGCCTTCAGCGTCTACATCAGCAACCTGGCCGCGGCGGACATCATCATCCTCTGCATGCTTCCCTTGCGGATCCACTACCACCTCCATGAGAACGAATGGGAGTTTGGAGACTTCGCCTGTCAACTCACTGGGACTCTGTACTATGCCAACATCTACATGAGCATCTGCTTCATGACCTGCATCTGCGTAGACCGCTATATGGCCACGGTGTATCCACACACTTACCTGAGAATGCGGAACCCAAAGTGGTCTCTGCTGGTAAGTGTGGTGCTGTGGTGTTTTGGTGGAGTGGCTATACTGGTCTTCATTCTCATGGGTCCACTGGAGAGAGAGGATGACCACAGGTGTTTTGAAAACTTCGCCACCACAGAGTGGAATGACCGATTGAGGACTTACAGTATAGTCAGTCTGGTTTTTGGCTCCCTGATGCCCTCCGTTATCATCCTGGTGTGCTACCCACTGGTAGCCAAACGCATTTCCATGATCGGCACCAAAACAGCTCAGAAGGCTATGAGGGTCATCTACACCATCCTCGCCATCACCCTGTTCTGCTTCCTGCCACACCATGTGGTTTACCTCCTGCACCTTCTTCAGCGCCTGGAGGTCATACAGAACTGCTCTGTCCGGACTTCCATCTACAACGCCAGACGAGTTACCATGGCGCTCATCACCCTCAATACATGCCTGGACCCTGTGCTCTACTACATAACCACCAGCCACTTCAGATGGGAGCACCTAAAAAGGACGTGGCTCTGGGGCATAGTGAGCAGGAGAAGGGGGATTTACACCATCTCAAGTGATCTGAAGGAGATAATGACGCCTGTACAGAGAATCCCATAAAATGCAAAGACTTTATGATATAAAAATTAAAAGGTTTTCACACCTGACAGATTAGTAGACTTAGTTCAATTGGAGACCAAAATAGCAACAATTGTTCTATTTTCAGCTGGTGCGATTTACTTTCACCCTGCACTGTGAGAAACAAACCAAACTATTAGAAAAACCAATTTAGCTCCACATCTTTGGTGTTGCTGCACTAAGAACCACTGAATAACACAAAAACCTCATAAAATGCAAACAAAAATGGAACGGTGTCAGGTATATGTACTATCAGGGTTTCTATTTTGTTTTTGGTAATAAACCACAAGCCATTTTTTTCCTACCGCTAGACACAAACAATGACCTAGCACTACTTTTAGAGTGGTCTCCTGTCCACTTAGCATTCACATTTGGACAGCACCACAGTTCACTTTTCAGATTCAGTTCTACCCTTCTACAGACAGGACCAGAGTTTGCTTTTTTGGTCTGCATCCAAGTTCGATTGTGCATTCACATATCCCCAAATGAACCAGACTTTAGAGGTAAATAACAAGAGTATGATTAAAAAGGACTAAGCATGGCTGGTGTGAATGCATATTAAAACTTTTTAATTTTAATGTATTCTCTGAACTGAAAAACAGTCAACAGTGACCTATTGCATGATAAATTCTGCAAATCAGATTGTGAGATCTCTTATCCAGATTTCCTTTCAGATTCAGTTCTACCCTTCTTCATCTTGAACTTTCTGACAAACACTTTTTAGTCACATCATCCACTCTGATGAACACTCTTGTTCCGTCAGAACAAAAGTAACCCCTGAGCATTACGATGCCGCCACCACGTTCCATTGTGGGTATTGTGGGGTTTTGATTTGGCAATGTTTCTGCATCAAATCACCTTTTCAGTGGTGACACATTTTTTGGACCATAGAAAATTCTTCCAGAGCCCAGATGTTTTCTGTCAGAAGTAAAACAACAAGTAGTTGCTAAAAAATTCTGCAACTCCTTCTTTGTTGCTATATGCCACAGATATTTGTCTGCCTCCCTGACCTGTCTAACCCTTCTTCAAGGTTAAAGAGAAAGCTTAACATTGAAGGCAACTAAATTCAACACAAACGTACAAACTTATGAAACGCTGAACTTCAGCTTTATTTTTTTTTTAAATATTTCACAACTAATGGGTTTTTTTTTCAGCCGAATTGTACAGTGTGATACAACATATCAGATTGAAAGTGAAAGTATGTAAATGCATTAAGGTCTCTTAATGGGTGTGCACAGATTTGACAACTAGTGTCGATGTAAATACACAACTCAAACACTGGATAAATAGGTACAATATTAAAAAATGAAGCTCTTTCTGTAAAACTGTATATAGTGGTGGCAAATTTCAAAATAAAATAATCAAAATCTGAATTTCTCTGGAAGCTTCAGTCATTTGATCAATGGGAATGGAGCCTTTGTAGTTGTTAAGTGTCTCTGCAAACAAAAAGGAAGCAGCTTTAGCTTCAGTATTTACGTTGACAAGACGACGACTGACATTTTCCGCACTGAAGAGCGGGTGATGGAAACTTTCCATTAAGAGTCAAATCCTTTCAAGTTACATTGCTCTAAAACAAACAAATAAAAAAACCTAAAAAATATAATCAAGATAAAAAGAGTCAATTTGGAAGGCCCTTCTTGAGCAGAGATGATAGGTAGCTCCCCAGATCTTCATCCTGCAAACAAAGCAGGCAAAAAGAGATTTTAATGACATACACCTTTAATAATTTATAGACTCTTAAAATGGACATCATAAAGGTTAATTTCAATTTTTATTAGTATTCAGTTCCTTAGCAGTCATAATCTGTAAGCCTTAAATATCTAAATTTACAGAAATACGCTGGAAATATTTGTTAGTGTGTCTAAATCATTCATTGATGAATCACTTTTAAAAAATAAAATAAGACAAACTTTTATTGCTAGTCAAAATTATTTCCTTGAAGCATAAGTAAAAAAATCCAAGAAGTAAACTTTTTCCTAATGTACTTTTAACATTTAATAAAAAATAGCCAAGGAACCATCTTCTTAGCCGACACCTACATACCTAAGGTAGAAAATGACATCAGGTTTCTCTTTTTTCCCCTTGCAATTTATTTGCATTGTGCGCGGAACGCAAGAGACCACGGAAACTCCACCTTCTGGTTTCATTGTTTATTTTTTGTTACTCACAAAGCCCCCTGTCTCATTCTGTACACCCACACAACTACTTTCACTTCATACAATTAAACCCATCATTGACAGTACCATGTTTCCACAAGACTGTCATTCTCTTTTTGCACTATGATCACAGAGTAAACTCAAGACTGCACATGGCAAAAATAAAACTCTGTTCATGTGTTAGACTCTTAATCTGAAGCTCTGGAAAGACTAATTAGATTGCTTGCCTATTGTTGCTGCTGCTGCTTTCATGACTATATTGCTTTGTTTGAATGTTCAGAGTCCTGAACAAATCTCAGCCTCTCCTTCCTCATCCTAACAGTTCAGGCCTCTGAGATATATGTGCCTCAGTTTTGATTAGCAAAGGCGCAACCTTCACTGTATACATTTGATTCTTGACAATAACAGGAACTATCCCAGAAGAACTGAAAAGAGGACCTGAATTAGATCTATATTTATTTCCCTCCTGCTTTAAACCACAATGACAATGAGGGCCTCACTTTGATCATTTTGTATTTGTTCTCAAACACCAACAAAAAAAAAAACATATTTCCTCTTGAGAAATGCAACAGTTCAGAAAAAAAAAACTGCACAGTGAAAAACCAAAATCATCTGAATAGTTTTTCCTATGACTGTCCCAATTATAAATTGTGTAGGAGGGTGAAGACACGTGCAAATCAGAGCAATCGCCTGCAAAGTTGCACCTCTTGCAACTTTGCCGTTGTTGTGCACTTCAGTGATCCATGCACTGTTGCTACATTAGCGCTCTCTTGGCATTGGCTATATAGGTGACGGCCCAGGGTGTCCACTTCTGGAGGGGACACTGCAAAAGATGTCTCTCAGGGTTCAATACACTTTTCCCCACAATAAAATTCAAGCACTTTTCAAGAATTTTCTTTAGTTTTCTGGCATTTAGCAAATATAAATCATTTTGATAATTTTAACTAACCTTAAAGAAGAGAAATTTGGTCTGATTAAACTTCAGAGAGTGGGAATACAATATATTTATATTAATAAATATGTTAATATCAACACATATATATATATATATATATATATATATATATATATATATATATATATACCAACAAAAAAATATTAAATATCTGGTTTTAATTGTAAATAAAGTTTGACAAATGTAGGCTTTTAATCAAACATTACATTTTGAAAACTGCACAGTTTGAATATCAATCACTTTCAAGGAATTTATACTGAAATTAAGCACTGCGCAACCTTGAGACCATCCAAACAAACCCTGCTCTCTTTTTGTACAGTCATATTCAATAAATTAGAATATGCATTTTGATGAGCTTCATTGGTCAGATTAAAACCTTTCTTTAAGCAGTTATTAGACAGATTTTTCATTAACTCCACATTTCTGTATATTAACAAGTTTTTATATTGGTCTGATTTAGGAATGACAAATAAAATGACACAGCTGTACCTGATAACTCCAAGATAGCAGCAGGACTTTGGCATTGGCATCTTCGGCCGAAGAGGAGACTTTTATAACGATGGATTCCACCATGACTGTTCCATCAGGAAGGTGCTGGATGGTGTAATCTTTTAGCACACTAACCCCAGAAACAAAACATTCAAGATGAGAATGAAATCCAACATAAAGTAGAATGAGTTGGAGGTGGTAAGGTGAGGGGTGCTCTGACCTCTTGAGGTGTGTGTAGATTCTGTGGAGCGTGTCGGAGTCACTGTGCGGGTCCTGGAGTTGCACGCGGCAGGTGAAGCGTAACTGATGTTCATTGAGGCCCAGCTCTTTCAGGGCCTGTTCTGATGACACCAGCTTCAAGCTCTGCAGCAAAAAGACACCAAAAAAACAACATAAAATAAAAAACACAGTAATGAGATGAATGCAACAGAATGTCATAAACAGAGCAACAACAAGATGCACTCAGATGTCGGTTTAATAGGCAAGAGAAACTGACAGTCTTTTAATTACAGCTGGATACAATTTGCAATCAGCATCTGTATCCTGATGACAGCTGACATTTTAAATGTAAACACAGCTGAAATCATTAAAATACAAAGCTTAAGCAAATTTATGGAAAGAAACTCTGGAGGACAGGCTGTGACTTTAAATCTTTCTGGAAAATTCCAACTTTCAAAGAAACTGAAAAATTATTTTTAGCGACAACAAAATGTATGGAAACTGAGAGAAAACACTCATTTGAAACTGTTATGCTTTGTATATTTTATTAAAAATTGTAATACTACAAAACAACACAAGGTGGTCTATTATTAAATTTGTTTGAAATCCATCACTATTGTATGTCTTAATACAATATCATCTCCCTTCCAGCACACTCAACAACAGAGATCTTATTTAGGCCGACATCGCTGTGTTTGACAATTAAAATAAATACATATTTAAAAAGCATTAAATTGAAAACTGAATAGCTTTTGTAACTCATACAAAAGCAGGTTTTACTGCAGTTCTGCTGTGTTTTAGTGGTAAGATATTCCTGACAAACCATGTGACCCAAAACTATGAAAACTTACATTTTCTTTCATGATGAGGGTTCCATGCATGGTGCGAGGTTTTTTAGGATCAGGTAGAGGGCCTTTAAAAAAAGAAAAAAATATATATATACACAATGGAGTTTTAGAAAGTAAATGTTTTTAAAGTATACCCGTTGGCTGCAGCTCAAACAAAACAGAACATTTTTCCATGGCTTTCAAAATTCTCACACCTAAAAGAAAAACTATAGTTTCTTACTGCGAGGTATCACACACTGAAAAATACTTAAATTAGCAGATTTTCTACATTTTCAGAGTGAAAATCACACCAGGAAGATCATTGATGCATTCAGTAATTAAGCCGTTTCGGATTTACTTAGTCGACCTTATCATTCCAATTGATCTGGGTCAAGTTATTGTATGAAGGCGGCAAGAAGCGTAAAGTATGACAAAAAGCCGGATGAACAAAAACCACTAGATAACACTTAACCTCCAAGAGCCATCTCCCTCTTGAGCAGGTTGAGCGATATGTCCACAGGAACGCTGGGGTTCGTCGTCACAGCCACCGTCTCCCCGTTGGCCGGCATGTAACAGTCTATACCTGCCATTTAAAGAGTTTAGAGTTAACCAGGCTGGAAATCCCTTCTGCCCACAGATGTAGAACATTTTCCAAAACAATAAATTACAGATGTTTGAGGCTGTGACTTCAGCAGCACTTACTGAACTCCTGTTCGATCTTCCCCTTGAGAAACTCCATTTTTGCAGCCTCGCCATGCACCAGCAGCATGTTGCGGGGCTCTGCCATGCGAATAAGCTGCATGATGCCCTTTGCATCAGCGTGTGCGCTGAAGGACATGTACTCCACCTGCAGCTTCACATCCAGCTGCAGCAATCACAGACAGATGTGGATGCAGGAAAAACTGACCGTAAGATTAACCAATTTAATTATTTAGGGTTTATTTAATTTAGTCATAAATCATTCTGACAATTGAGCAATTATCAGATTAAAAAAAAGCACATTCTGCACATTTTTCATTTAACCACTTACACTTACTTGCTGAAATATTAGAAATACATAAAAAACAAATCAAATCATTCAGTTTCTTCTTAAATAAGAAAATAATCAATTTATTGCTTAAAATGCAATACCATAGCATTCCTTTAATGTATGTTTGGTCATTAAATTTTTTTTAACAACCAAATAATAATTGGTAGTAAAAGGTGCTTATTTTATCTTTTTTTTTTTTTTTGAATTAGGTGAAGCAAAAACTACAAATCGTTCTTTAGCTATTCTTAAACTAAAATCCTTTTTGCTACTGAAAAGAAACAGGTTTGTGTCCTTTTTTTAAGATTTGCTTTTGCTTTGGGAAGGATCTTATGCTCTACTTTAAGCCTAAAACATGTTGCTATTAGGAAAGATGAGTTATAAGAAAGATGCATTATAACAATCGAATCAATATGTTAGTTAGCTGGAAAAAAAAGAAAAATCTTACCGTTGATCTTCCTTCCATCTCCAGTTTTCGTTGCCCATTAAGGATCTTATGACCAATAGTCCCTTGCACACAATACCCAGGCATAATCACCTTTAAAGAGATTTTTTTTTCTTTAATTATCATTCAGTAGTGTCAGAGAAGGATGATAGAAAACTCCTTAACTGTGCTATCATATACAAATAAAAATAAGATATTTTCTTTTTTTTCAAAACAGATCATTTCAAACTGATGGACTGAGAACAATCATCAAAGCATTGGGAAAATGTTCATGTTTTGGTGTGATTAGGAAACAGACAACCATACTGCTGTCCTGTTTTAGAACATCATTACAGAAATCGATGTGCTTAAAATGTGCTTTTAACCTATCTTAGTGTTTTACAGCTTAAAATGTATACAATTTCATTATTTGGTCGACTACTAGATTCTGCAAGTTATATTCAAAATACGTAAAGAAATATTCCTAACACATCTGGAAAAAGAATTTATTAAAAGAAATAGCATTTATAATTTGAGATGATCAAACAGTTTAAAAACACCAAAAACCAGAACAAAACAAATGGAACATTTTCTGTTTACAGGATGAATCTTGTCTGAAGAAGCAAAAGACAATAAATAGCTCAATTTTATGATAAAATATAATAAGCTGTCAAGGTATAACTAAGTAGAGTGCTTTATCATTTCAAAGATTTTTTTTATGTTTTCTACATAAGATTTTTTTCTTCCCAACCGCTCCTCTTCATGCTAAACTTTTGTATAAATATCAATAAATGACAAGTTAATTTTAAACTGTAAATTAATTACATAAACGCTATACAAAATAAATAATTTAACTACAGCAAATGTATTGTTTGTGTCCTGTGTGATGTTGGATGAGAGAGGTGCGCTTGTTGCTTGCTACTTTTTCTTCTTAAAGACAAGTTTCCAAACGGGATCATAAAATGTGTATGAAATTTGGAATAAGGACTTCAGGAACATTAAAAAGATTTTTCTTTGCATAAAGGACTCACCATGTTCTTGTCATTGCCAGCCCATTTCTTGAATATCTGCAAAGACTGGCCAGCATGTAGCATACCCGGTGTGGCGAACACCACCTGAAAGAACAGGCTTATCTTAAAGGCTTTGCAGCAGTTTGAAACTTTAACATTTAGGGAGAAAAGCCAACTCACCATTGGCCCAGGATTATCTGCATAGGAGCGATCGAAGGCCTTGATGTGTTTAAATTCAAACATGTTTCTCTGTACAAAGGTTTTTCGGATCTTCTGGTTGGTCCATGTTATGAAAAGCTTGTAGTAATGATTGGCTTTCTCTGTCAGCCCAGTGGAAAAGTAGATCGGAGCTTTTAGATTCATTCTCTCCCTGTGTGGAAAGAGGGAATTAAAAGCAGCCCAATTAGTGAACAGAAAATGTTAATATCATGCAATTATTCTTTCAGGCCTAATAAAATGAATGCATCATATATAATAAGCTGTCGAGACAGAATCTTTGCTTTTTGTGTTGCAGTCAGGAAGTAATTGGTTCATGCTGAGAGGTTTTATTTTATTTAACTGGAATGTCAACAATCACTTGACAGAAAATTTTTTTTGCATCTGATATCAGGGAACAGGCTGCAATTATCTCCACACATCACTGCCATTGCTTTCTTATTTTATTCCTTTGACATAAATGTGTAAAAATGCTTCAAGCTTTGATTCTAATGCTGCGTTTGAAAGTAAACTGTACCAAAATGTTTCCAGCAGGATGCAGAGCTCTTGTGCACGTCCCAGAGCAAAAACTGGAATGAGAACCTGGGGAATTTTAAAGCAGAAATGTCATGTCATGTTCTAATTCAGTAACAAAATATTGAATTTGAATAGATTTAATTTTTACCTTTCCTCCTCTTTCTATGGTTTCATGAACTTTCTTCAGGAAGTCTCTTTCTCTGCATCTTTTTGAATCACGGATAGTTGTGGCGTAAGTAGATTCAGATATTAGGATGTCAGGACGACATTTATCAATCCAAGCAGCGCTACAAAAAACAGACAATGTTGAAAATATAGCGGCTGCACAATCAGAAATCAGCCTCTTTTTTGCTTTAAAAGGTGTTTTCTGAGCTACAAATCAGATGTGATAATGTGTAGATGCATAATTTCAGATTGCATATCTTGCATCACAATAGTTTCTCTTCCAGGAATAAAAACCTAATTTACCTTCCCTGCTTCTAGCTGTGCTACCATCAACAAGCCTGCAGCTGCCATTTGTGCTCCAGTCATTTGATTGGTGATTACACTGCTGATACACTTGTGAATGTTTATAAACTGGATCACAGTTTTACAAATGTCCAACCTTTATAATGTAAACATACGCAGAATAAAAAATTTTTTCAGTCATGTTAATAACGTAACAGGTGTGAGATATTGCACAAGGTTTTTCTGGGGAAGAATAGATTTTTTTTTTTATTACAAACAGTCTGTTAGCTGATATTTTCCATTAATAAAATGAGAATTAATCAACATTTTGACCCTTTATGGACTAGTCTACATATATCAAGGAATGCACTGGAAACACTATATAAAACACACTGCCATCTAGTGGTAGATTATGCAAATTATGCTTAATTAAAAGATAAAAATATTGTCATTGTCACAGGAACAACAAAATTTTAAAAAGTGCCATCAGTCAGTGTATACGCTTAACAAACTGTCACAATTTACACACAATGTAAAAAAAAAAACAAAAGTAGCTGATACACATCATTCATGATGATTGATGGTTATTTTTTGATTGCATTTAGTTTTGTTATTGCTTTCAGGTAAAAGAAACTGTCTTTCAGACGGTTGGTTCTTGTTCTGATTGTTCTGTATCGTCTGCCTGAAGGCAACAGTGTAAATAGAGAGTGTCCGGGGTGTGAAGTGTCCTTTATGATGTGTTGTGCTGTGCTTTTTTTAGACAGCGGTCGCTGTACAAATCTTCCAGTGAGGGGAGAAGGTAGCCAACAATTTTTTGGGCTGTGTTCACAACCCTTTGGAAAGCTTTCCTTTGAGCCATAGTGCTGCTATTATACCATACCCATACAAAGTACCCAACTTTTTATGTAATTCATAATGGCAAATATCTGCCACTAGTATACTATTTGTTTGATAGCTAAAAACACAATTAATTGTTTTATCAAAAAAAATACTTCACTATATCCAGGCTGTAAATGGTTCATTTCAGGACTTGCCTAAAATCCTGCATATAATATAAAATCAAATAGATAATATTTTCCCTTATTGCCAAGAAGAAAAATACTTCTTAACAGTAAACAAATTTGACTTACAGGCAGTTTAAAGTCAATTTGGAACATACCTATTCCCACCACCAAAAAGGCTAAACTTAAGCAATACTTTGTGAATTTTGATCATAACTTTTAATAAAATCCAATTAAATTTGAGGGTCATAAATTCTCACAGAAATTCAACTTTTATTCCCCCCCTCTTTTTATGTTTTTACATTGATATACAAAATGTTATCATTTAAGACTTATTTTAATACTTTAAAACTCGTCTTGCACTAGTAGTTCTTCAGCTTTTTGTTTCCCTTTGCCTTGATTGCGACAGCCTGATGCTTAACAAAAAAGCCCTTCATTTGTTGGATCTGACGAGACTCTCTGAAATGTTGGACAGAAAAAACTGGCTCTCAAAACAACTTTATCCAATAAGGCAGTGGACCCAACCTTAGATTTCAAGACTCACTCTCCTGTTTTAGATGTTCCATTTTTATCCTTCACCAGATTTAAATAAATGGGTCATTAATAAGTTTCTTAAGAACTTGAGTCCAGTGTGTTGGAGTATGATACATCAAAAATATGAAGAACAGTGTGCCCTGATAAACAAAGATGGGGACTAATGTTAGTGCAGAGTATTTTGTTCCAGTACATTACTTTTCTGGGGTAGAGAAACATCTGAAAAAAATGGCCCGAAAGTTCAGTTTTAAAACAGTGAAGAGAACACCAGCTTGAAAAAATCTGACTTTTAAAAATCCACACATTCAACAAACAATACAATGTTAACGCTAAAAACTTTGCAGTACCGTCTAGTTTATTTTAAATATCTTCTTGTTTCAACATAGCTATTTAATCTTTGGGATTAAAAACTACATCTTTGGGAAGTCATAAACTTTTGCAGAGGCTGGGTATTAACCCCAAATTTAACTAATGTGGGCCAAAATAAATCATGATTGACAAAATTAGACTTGTTCGATTTCAAAAAATTGTATAGAAAAAAAATCCTTAAAATAAAATAGGTAAAAATATGTGCCTATTCATGCAACATAGAATATTGTTTAATTTTTCTATTATAGTAATAAACTAAAATAAAATACAAAGTCAACATAATTTGGCAGATGTCCTTTATAGAAAAAAATTGTGAGAAATAGCAGAGGCAACTTACCCTAAATGCCTGTCTGGTGTCATGTTATAGTCTCCCTAAAACAGATAAAGAGATTTCTCTCAGGCTGCAGTCATTACAATCACCTGCTGTGACACAGTGCAAACTTGTTTACACTCACAGTGTAGACCACAGACTCTGATCCCACTTTGATGTGCACCATAGCAGCTCCCAGAACGTGGCCTGCATAGTACGCCTTGATCTCCAGCTCATCATCCACCTGCCAGGAGCACAACAGAAACAGCTTGATTTGCCATCAAAAGGGGCGAGCATCTGGCACAGAACAAGATGGGATTAGATAAAGTCATCCGAAAGAGTGACATCAGCGCAGCACCTGCACAGTTTGGTGTAGGTTCAAAGGAATCACTTTCTTCATACAGTCCTTGATCATTTGCGAGGTGAAGAAGTTGGTTTCTCCCTTCTTGTCAACGGTGATCTTCCGGAAATCTTCAAGTAAAATGGGACAAATGGCCTTAGTGGGATGGGTCATGTAGATGGGTCCGTCGTAGCCTACCATCTCGCTCATGTAAGGCAGGGCACCGCAGTGATCCAGGTGAAAGTGGCTGAGCATCAGAACAGGTGGAACAAGGTGAGCACATAGACTGGTTGTATGCATGTTTTCGGAATGGAGCATTGAAGAAAAACAACAAACCTGATGATCACGCAGTCTAAGAAGTCTGTCAGGCGGCCGTTCTGTGTTATGTAGGAAAAGTCTGGGAAACGCCTCTGGAATAAAATAAAAAAAACCAAACAGTTATTGTCCAAACACCATGTACTTCATATCTATGTGGACATTTAACTTGACTAAACAACACCCTTCAAAGAAGATAAAAGGAACAACTTTGTCATACAAAATGACTTTATTTACAACACAGGCCATCAAAAACTACTTATAAAAGCTATACAGTGTACCTTTTATGAATAAAAGTAAAACATAAATTTATTCAAGAATTTTTACACACCTATAACAATGGTACCGTACCAATAAGTGTTTTGAAAGTTTTAAATCCGCATATGAAGTTGACCTTGTCTCGGCACAGGCCTAAACTTTCACTAGATACACACATATTTTTTTTAGATTCACTTACGTCGTCGTTGTATCCCATGTGCATCCCACAGTCCAGCATGATGTTTTTGCCTCCGATGGACACGAGGATGCAGCTGCGACCGACATCCTGTCCAGCACCTTGGATAGGGAATACAGAAATTGAGAATCTACAGACACAATTCTGCTTTAAAAAAAAAGTGAGTGAAAATGTTGAAAACGCTTATTTTATTATCAATACACATGCACAAAAAAATCCCGAAGCTATGCTGGAAGAGAGTGAAACGCCATGCGCAGGTTTAAAGTTGTTAAATTGAAGTTTAAAATATAATGTTGACGGAACTAGCTTAGCCTCGGGATAAAAGGCTACAGTACTCACCTAAAGGTGTTACTTTTATTTCAGGCATTTTGTATCATCTGCCCGCTGCTGGATTCTGTAGACTAATGAGTAATGCCGCTAAATTTCTAATAACAGTTTATCTAAACACAGTAAATGGGAAAGAAATCTTTGTTGCTACTTGTGCATGCGCTTCATACAGAAGCATTAAGATAGGGGGCTACAACTGAACTTCCGGTAAGCGCTCCCAAAATAAAGTCGAGATTTTTCTCACAGCAATTCGAGGAATACTTAAAGCATTATATTATACCACTTTACAAAAGAGGCTTACTGCAAAACATTGTAAGAAAGTACAGCACGATTTACTTTTAGTTTTTATTTATAATGTTAAACCAAACTTAATATTTCTTGCACATGTGCGTTATTTGGCTTGTCAACGAATTTTCAATTACAAAAGTAAAACAGGCGTCTGACTTAACATTCCGCGTACTTTTATCTTGAAGGCATTTCTTCAACTTCCGGGACTTTTCCGGTTCGAGTTTGCGCAGTAGGCATAGATTTAAGAACAGGGATAACTTGCAGAAAAACCACAATGACGAATTTTATTACTATCCCTTTGAGCTTTTCTCACCGGTAATGTGTTCGACATTTGACTCTCTCTCTTTACACCTGACTCCTCTTCCAAGAGTCAGTCGCTGTTAAACAGCTATCTTTTATTTATTTAGTTCGCTTCCTGATAGTGGAAAAACCCACAATGGCAGATTCGGAGAACCAGAAATTCTGTCTACAGGAGGTCCTGGACAGTTTTAAATCGTGTCTATCGCCAGAAAAAGAAATCTACATTGAACACTACGTTTCTGGATGGAGAGGTCTTGTGAAGTAAGTGATTGTTGAATATTTTGTCGAGTTTTAATCCTCCATAGTAATGGGTTAGATTAAATTAATTGAAAATAGCTGGACATTTTTTTAAAGAAAAAGTCTTTTTAGTATGGTACGAGGCTTGTGCTAATTAAAGTCTAAATAAAAAAGCATTTTAGGTAACGTACAATGACTGGATTCCTGAAAGCTGACCAAACCAACCTTTCAGGTCTGGGGTTGTCGAGGTAACGTGAAGGTAACGTGCTGTGCAGGTTGGATCACTAACGTGTGGCCATGACACTGCCAGCCTCCTTCTGCTTCTTTGACATACTGTACATGGAGTACTTTGTACATGTACTTTGTTTCGTACTTACCTGCTTTTCACAAGGAGACTCTGTTTCAAGGACTAAGTCACTTCAAGTTAATCCATTTGCACTTTGTACTGTGAGTTCCTTATTTGAAAAATAAACTAGAACCCCTGCTTGAAGTAGGGCTGCACAATCCAGGTACATCAGTAAATTAATTTAGAACAGAAATAACCTTTATTTCCCCTCAGTGGGAAAATTCAGGTGTACCAGCAACAAAGAGGCAGATAAGGTGAAGCATGTAGATTAACATGGTAATAAAAATATAATATCTGGACTATTAAACTAAAATCAGAACCATACAGTGAGTAATTTACGGCATAAGAAAAGAAATAGGCAATTAATAAAAACAGCACAGAAATGTGCAACTGAGTTGGATATTTCTTATGTCCAACTCAGTTGCACATTTCTACAATCTACAAGAAGTGGAAATAACAGTGCAAACAACAGGGATGTACAAATAATAGCACGAATATAAATACATATTGAAATTACCTAACAGATTCTAGAAGTAATGGCCCACAGCACCACTTCTTATACTGATGGAGCTTTCCAAAGCTGCAGTGAAAAGTTAATTTATTTTGTTCTGATTTTAACAAAAATGTGAGTCTCATACATAAAATATATCATTCGACAAGCAAAATAATATTTCTGATGTTTATTTTCATAATATTGGTTTATGATCAGAAAAATGGTGTAAACTGAAAAGGGTTTTTAACATAGAAATGTTATGGTATACATTTCATAGGGAAAAGTGCTGACTGTTAAGTTGTTCTTAACTATGAGGATAACACACAAAATGTTACTAAAAAACTGTCAACGAGCTGTATCCACTCATTGTAGAAGAAAGTTAAGTGAGAGGAAAAACTGGTAAAACAAGGTGGACAAGTAGCAAGGATAACTGTAGCCTTCAGAGGATTGCAAAGATGTCATTTCTATTTATTCAACCTTGAAAGCAATTTAAAAACACAAGATTTTATATTCATATCTCTCATTAGGGAATATCTGAGTCTTAGCAGTGCTTTTCAATATTTATGTTAGCTTTCTGATTATGACCCATTAGTTGTCACTGATTAATTTTCTTACTCATACTGTATATACATGGGCCTTGAGAAGGAAACCCTGGAGGTAAAGTCTGATAGATTCTTACAACTCTTACCTGATCATGTTTCGGAGCTGGACTCCTGTAAGCACACTGACTGCAGTAAGAAAGTATAAAAGTGCTCACAGTGTGTGTCTGTTTGTCTTGTCAACAGGCTTCTGAACAGTTTGGGAAGCCTCTTCGGTTTCATTTCTAAAGATGCTGTCAGCAAGACCCAGATCTTGATGAACTTCCTGAAGAGTGAGAACGGCCCTCACTATGCCACGGTGCAGTCCATGGTCAAGTTTGAGCTGGACAATCAACTGGTGGATGTGGACAAGAAGGGCATCTGTCCTGAGTCAGGGTGCCGCACTCTGCTGAGGCTCCACCGTGCATTGAGATGGCTTCAGCTCTTCCTGGAACGCCTGCGCACCAGCAAGGAAGACGACAAGACTTCAGTCATGTGCAGGGACGCCTACAATGAGTCCCTGGCCCAACACCACCCGTGGCTGATCCGTAAGTCAGCCGGCATGGCTTTCTACAGCCTCCCTTTAAGACCGGCTTTCCTTGAAGTGATGAATGTCGGCACACCTGAGCAAGTCTTGGACGTTCTGGGGAAGGCTGTGCCTCTCCTTTGTGAGGTGTATCAGATCACAGAGGACCTTTACCAGAAACACAATCTGCTTGATTTACCATAGAAAGGGAACAAGTGCTCGATTTTATCTGTCTGTAAATTATTCCTGTTGGAGTGCTGTGGAAACTGCTGCTGCTGTATGATTAAACCAGCATGTGTGCTATACCTAAGAGTAATTTTTCACACTGATTGCACCTATATGCATTACAATATTAGGTAAAATGTTGCATGTTTATTCTGGACTCATTGTCATGTAACTTAAATTGATAATTTTACTGTTTCTTAGGTGTTTTTATATTAAAAAGTAGGAGGTATTTGATAACTGTGGGGACATTACTCAAATAATTAGTCTTAAAAATGATACATTTCCTAATACCAGCAGATAGCCAATCAGCTGTTCTACTTAAATCTAGTTTGATAGCATATTATAAGTGAAAACATTGCCAGTAATTTAATTGCTTTACGTTCCTTTTAAATGTAATCTTATTGTAAAAAACAGAAAAGAATTAAACAAAAAAATCTATTCCCATTTTAAATCAATTTCAGCAAAAGTAGTATAAATATTTCAGAAGTTTATCTGGTAAATAAAAAGCATAATACAAATGGCATTGTTGAATAAAGTCTGTATACTTGAACATTTTGTTGATTGGTAAAAACTAGATTGCTATATATCCAGCCAATAATAAGAGTTAATACATTCATGGACTGATAGAAATTTAAATCCACAAAAGTGCTGATAGGTTGTTCATTGAATGTAAATTGTGTTATTTTAAACTACATTGTTTGTAACTCCTTTTATGAAATAAACAGTGCAGAATGATGTTTTATCTGACTGGTGCCTCTGCATTCATCTTAACTGGGTCAACATTGTGTTGAAACACTTTGCTGCAATTTGCTTGGTACATAAAGCTGGAGATCTGTGTTTTTGAAAGTGGCTCAGTCAGAAAATTGTTGACACGGATTTTTAATTGGATTTTGGTCTTGGCTTTGACTGGTGAATTTTAACACATGAATATGCTTTGATTTGAACCAGTCCAGTGTTATTGCTGGCCATATGTTTTGTCTCTCTTGCTGAAAGACAAATATTTTGTAAACTCTACCAGGTTTTTAAGGATCGCGTTGTATTTAGCTCTATTTCCCCATAAAATATTACACATTTAGACTGCTCAGACCTTCAATATTTATTCAATCTTGAGAGCAATTCTTTAAAAACACAACGGGATTTTATTTTGTTTGCAGAAACAAAGAGTCCTTCTCCGTGTGTTTAGCTCTTAATGTTTCTAATAGTCTTGAGTTTCATCTCGCGGTAGGTTTTGCTCGTCCGGCCCTTCAAAATGAGTCGGAGGTGAAAAATGTTACGGCTGCAGTTTGTACGTCACCAACGCCAGGTGTCAATCAAGTTCAGCCGGTTACCATGGTTACCAGATCGCCTGCCGACGCCGATAAAAAGTGAAAGGAACTCCTCCAACTGCGTGAAAGGTAAACGAGCCGGTCACGCTTCATGTACATTTCTGAGCACGCTTACTTGTTTCTATGGTAGGTTTTAATTCTTAGAAGGCCTCTCAGTGTGAGTCGTCGTGTAAACTAACAGCGTTTTCTCGACACTTTGTAAATCATCAAGTGGAGCAGCTGAGGGAGGTTGTCAATGCATTTAACAAGACCAAAGTCTTCGAAAGGGAGGAGCAGACCCGCCGTTGACAGCTTGCTACACCCAGGTGGTTCACACATCGACCCGAAGGCCCCAAACTATCACCTCAGGGGCAAGCCGGACGGAACCGTCCGCTCCCTGTCCGAGCCTGAGCTTCGGCAGGCCCGGCGGTGGAACAGGGAGGAACTTCTGCACTTGCTACCGCAGGAGCATGATGCTGTTCCTAAATTATCTCTAAACAGGTACAAAGTCCTTCCATCCATACCGACCAGGCAGTCCAAGGAGAGGTCGCCGAAGAACTTGGATGAAATGATGGTACACCTCAACCTGTCTGGAGAAGTGACTAAAAGCAGGACACTGGAGCAGGAAGGGACTAATGGACAGCTCAGTATCGGAGCCCGGTGTGAACCCTCAGAAACAGCAACACCTAATTCAGGCAGTTTGCTTCTGGCTATAAGGGCGCCGTGCGGTCGGAGGTTTGAGCAGTACTTTAACCCCACAGACACCCTGCGGGCGGTGAGAGCCAGCGCAGAGGCCCGGTTTGCTGCCACCTACAGAAAGGCTTTCATCGAGACCATGGATGTGCCACGCAGAACCTTTACAGACATGGACATGACCCTGGAGCGGTGCGGCATCCTGAACAGATCAGTGCTGTGCATCTCTTACCATTTCCAGCACTATTAAACAAAGCGCTGACGCAGAAATACCACACTTTATTGAGCCAAATCAATAAAGTAGTTTTGAATTTGAAGTAACCTGGTGGATGAGCCACGTTTTTCAGCAACAAACGCACCAATCAGAAATCGGAATAAAACGATTTTGTTCATTGTGTGGTGACCACCAGGTCAAATACTTTCATTTTTTTAAACTGCCATCCATTTTTGGTCTATAAACTTTTCAATAACAGAATTAAATAAAATGTTGTAATATACTGTTTCACCTCAAATTATAATATCGGCTGTACCTGCTTATTCTTGGAGGTAAAACCTGAACAGGTCGCCAATTGCATAACATGCAATCTGGAGACCAAGGGGTCCAAATCATAAATCAAAAGTATTTGTGGGCCAAGTAAAACTAAAGTTGCAAAGTTTATATTGTAATTTTTACCTGCTTAATAAGTTAAGCACGTTATATTTTAAACAGTCAAATATTGTAGAAAAAACTGAAAGCATTTTGCAGATTTGCCTTATTAAAATAAAGTGACAATTATTTTGGGCTTGATTGATATTTCTAATTCAATCTTGTATATTTTGCTATACCAACAAAATGTGTTATCCAAGGTTTTTGGAAGGAAACCAGAAAGGTTCGACCTGGTAAGTCAGTCTTGATATGCCATCATGCCAAAACTGATATGTAATTTTTTTAAATTTTGAAGAAAATTTCAAAAACAGTTTGTAAAAAATAATTCTGGCAATTTTGACTGATCTAAAATGAGATGTTTGGTCAGATTTCAGTTCAGACAGGAAAAAAAGAAAGAAAAAAAAGTCCTCATAATCAGTGCATGTAAACTTCTTGTTTCAACTGTACAAGACAATGCCTCATCCTTGAAATAAGTCCTATTACATCTAAAATGTCAAGGCATTTTAAAGTTAAGCATTTATTTTTGAAAAGCCAACACTTTCAATTTGAAAGTTTCTCTCCAACTCTTTAGTTTTTTTTTATGTCAGCTAATTATTATTTTGTTTACAATGCCAAGTCTAATCAAAGTATGAAATTAGTCTTTTCACAATGTTGCATGCTATCGTTTCATCAGACCCAAGCTTTTTAACACTGAACTGATGAAGCATTAAATCATTAGATAAAGCAAGCAATCAGCTCAAAGTAGGTTGAGTTAATCTATCAAACATGCGTTAAATCAAATGTTTACATTTCATCTCTCTAAAAAGATGCACAAAATGAGCCTTGCATGATTGAAACTTTAAAAGCTTTGCATCCACGAAAGAAAATAAAACCCGTTCTATTTGAACTTCAGATGATTGCTTGTCGCTCTGACAAATTTATTCAAATTACACAAAAAAAGAAAAAAGGATGGATTGTTGTACTTAATACTGGCTCAACACGACTGAATACAGGAAGCCAGAAACAGCAGAGAAGATTTTTTTTTTTTGGTTTGTTTAAAGCGATATTGCACAGAATGCATTGTGAAACTGGCACTGAAGACACTGGGCTGAAACAGGTTTTTCAAACAACCGCACACGTCATGCAAAACTATATACACTACACACATATATCACATAAAAACACTGATATTTCACTCAATATAATCAGTAACACTGCAAACACACATCTTTTAACACCTGTGGTGACTGTAAAACCTCAATGTTGAAGCAACTCCAAAGAAAATCTGAACCAAAAAGAAAAAAAAAAGTACCAGAAAATCTTTTATAGCAAATTAGCAAAAAACAAACAATGTGACAACAAAAAAACAGTGTCAACTATTGGAAAGCAGCAGAACATTAAATTGTCATCTTCTCCATTTCCTCAAGGTTGCTGGTATCGAGTTTTGTAATTTTCCTGTCTAGGACAAAAGGAAAAACTCAAATTAGGATCTGACGATATGTCATTATAATGAAAAATTGATCAAAACAAAGAAATCTCACTGAAATGCATTTCAATTTGCTTAATGATTTCCATGCTGTTTTTGCTGTCCACCATGTTGACAGCAAAGCCTCTTCTGCCGAAGCGTCCTGTACGACCGATCCTGTGCAGGTAGGTCTCGTTGTCGGCGTTCCCTTCCAAATCCACTGGGAGGTCAAAATTCACCACAAGGGACACCTGCTCCACATCAATTCCTGCAAACGGATAGAAATATTTCATAAGGGTATTTATAAGGGATATTATACACACCCTTAGCATCACTAAATTTTAATTGCAGATCTACTTGCCTCTGGAACACACATTGGTGGTCACAAGCACTTTCTCTTTGCCATTTTTGAAGCGTTCAATGACAGCAGCTCTCTGTTCCACTGCCATTTCCCCGCTCAGCAGCGCCACCTGGTGGCCCTCCGTTATCAGGCTGGAGGCCAGCCAGGCAGCCATCTTCCGAGTCTGACAAGAAAATTGAGCATGATCAAGGAAATTCCCAACACTTTGAAACAAAGAGGTGTGACTTTAATAGATTCACTAATGAGAATTTGCTAAAAGATTCACATTAGTGAAAGTTTTCCAGATATTGTTAAGTGGGAGTTAAAATTTCAATATTTATTAAATTTTAAATTTGTGCAGTTTGGTTTCACACTGCAGCAAACAAACCAAACCCTTACATTTAAAAAACAAACCAAAAAACTCTTCCCATGGTGGTGCGACACCAAGCATCAAAAGGAAATGGCATGAAAACCTCTGAAGACACCGAGCAACTTCCTTCTTCATAAAATGTTAATTAAAATTGAGCAGCATTAAGAATTTAGCAGTTGAAAGGTTTCTTTGTTTTGGTTTTATTTACCCAGAATGCTTTGCACTACCTGCTTTTGGAGCAGTCTCTGGTCTGTTTGACATTCATATGCATTGGAACCTCACCAAAGTTCAATTCAATTGAATCAAGACTTAGGTTTGTCAGCAGACCAGAGTTTGTTTTTTTTTGGTCCACACAACAGTTTGATTGCACATTCACACCTTCCCAAACAAACTGACTTTTTAGGCAAATAAAAACTAGAATAATAAAAAAACTGAAACAAGTAGCATTCCTTTGCAAAAAACAACAACAAAAAAAATAATTATTTCACAGACTAAAAAATAATTTCTAAAGATTATTTAAAAAAAATAAATAAAAACCTTCAACTTACGTGGCAGAAGATCATTGCCTGTGCAATAGTCAGACACCCATACAGGTTACAGAGCGCTGTGAACTTGTCCTCCTTCTCCCTGCAGAGCACATAGAACTGCTTGATTGTGTCCAGCGTCTCCTCTTCTCGTTTCAGTCTGATTATATTCGGATCGGGAATCACTCGCTCGGCAAACTTCATCACAGAGTCCTCAAAAGTTGCAGAGAACAGCAGCATCTGACAGTCTTTGTTGAGCAGCCTTAAAACAGGGAAGGCAGTTATCAGATATGCTTTTTTTTTTTTAATTCAACATCAGGTTTTTCAGGAAGAAACCCACCTGTGGATCCGGATGCTCTGGTCCCGATGACCCTGCATGGCGATCATCACATCAGCTTCGTCCAACACAAACATTGTGATCTTCTTTGGGTCAATAAGTTTGTATTTGGTGCACCAGTCAAGGATGGTGCCTGGGGTTCCAATGACAATCTGCTCTTGCAACTTGACACGTCGCTCCACTGGAAAACACAAAGTGTCATGCAGATATAAAACATCACCACTGATGTTTTATCAGTGGTGGTGATGACAAAGAACAGCAAACTTGTGTTAGAAACCTAACATACTTAACTCCCTTCACCCTTTAACAATACATGTTCTTCAAATAGTTTTCATTTTAGAAGGCCCAAGAAATTTGTTTTTAATTCAGTCCCTACTTAAATGCAATTAAAAATGTATACAAATGTTATTTTATACATCACCTTTCTAAAATAATGGCCCAATTAATTTTTTTTGCCAAAAGTTGGAGGGGAGGCAGAGTCGGTGTTGGAAAGATTTTTTTCTTTTCTTTTGACAAAGTCATCTTTGTCAAAAAATGACTCAAGTCATTATTTTTGGAAAGTGACAATACACAAAATGTCCTTTTTTCTCTGATAAATGATGTGATAAAGCAGCTCCTCATTTAGATAAATGATTTAATTATTTACATATTTAATTGATTTCTTGAATGTTCTGTGATACTTATGTAAATATAGTAGGTAAACACAGCCTATCCCATCAACCAACAACAAACAAACAAACAAAAACATAAAAGCCATTTCAGGATCTTACTTCTATTCCCTCGAATGGCATAGGCCAGTTTCACATTTGGACAGAATTTGCCCATTTGTTCGATCACTTGGCCGATCTGCAATGCCAGCTCATATGTTGGTGCAACACAGAGACACTAAAAGAGAGTTTTTTAATCTTCGTTAAAGATGCCTGGCACTGGAGGAGTTGAATGCTCTGAAGGTGTTCTTGCTCACCTGAGTCCAGGTATTGTCAGGGTTCACATGACTCAGCATGGCCAGAGAGAAAGCTGCAGTCTTGCCAGTGCCAGACTGCGACTGAGCAATCAGGTTCTGATGTCTAGACAGAACAAGCATGGAAAGAAGAAATGTTTTACATTTTAAATGAAAAACACCAATAACAGAACAAGTATCCACTTAAAGCCAAGCTGATGTTACACCTAACTTTATGCCTTGTCAATATATGCATTTAACTAAGATGACAACAACAAAAAAGCCAGGGCACTGGCTCTGGTCGATTCATCCATCTGCTTCCATATTTTGCCATTTGGTCCTCATAAACGAATAGTACCAATTTATAGGCAAGTAAATGGAACTTCAAAACCTTATGAATGTGTTTTTTCCACTCATATCCATGCTCACAACTAACCCAAATCTGTGTCTGAGTGAGAGTTTTATACCTGAACTCAGGGCTCCCTGACATTGTTGTACCAAGTTGTACAATTTTAATCAATAGGAAAATTCAACTGTTCAACTAGCCACTGTTCAACCTAAGGAGGGCAGCATTGAGACCAGGTGAGGCAGAACTAAATACATTTACACAAAAACATCAACATTTTAACAGAAACAAAAATACCTTAACCCAATCGTCCCCCAATGGACGACTGTGGCTGTGTGGCAGAGTTGTCGTCTTGCAATCGGAAGGTTGTAGGTTTGATTCCAGCTTCCTCCTGCCATATGTCGATGTGCCACTGGGCAAGGCACTTAACCCCAAATTGCCTGCCGGTCTGCGTATCGATGTATGTATGTGTGTGCGAATGGGTGAATGTGAGTGGTCAAAATGACTGGAAAAGCGCTATACAAGTTCAGTCCATTTACCACCCTAGTCCTCAGGACCCATTGCCCTGCTTGTTTTAGGTGTTTCCCTGCTGCTGCACACCTGGGTTAAATGAACAAGTTATTAACCAGCTTCTGCAGCAATTATAAGAGTGCAAAGGAGGTAATGCAATCATATGAATCAGCTGTGCTGGAGTCGAGACTCATCAAAAACATGCAGGACAGCAGTCCCCAAGGACCATGGTTGGGGACCACTGCCTTAACTTATTTAGATATTTTATCCGCAAAAAATTTGGTTAGTTATACTTGAAAGATGAAAGAATAGTGACACAGGCCTGTTGTTAAACCTCACTTTAAATTTCCAATGAAAGATTTAAAGTGATGTTAAGCAGCCTCTTTCAGAACAGTGCCTGTAGCCACTTGACAGAGTGTTAATGGATAACAGGACAAGAAACAGATTTTACTGATCATTCTTTCTTGTTTTTTTTCCCCATATGAAATGACTGAAATGTTTCTGTAAATTTTAAGATTCTAGTTTAACCTCGTGAAAAAAAAACAAAACAAACAAAAAAAAAAACTTGTGCAACAATTTGCAACATCAACAGTTGCCCAATAGTTGTGAATACAGATATTCTCTCCCAAGAGAGCCCAGATTTCACTTTTCTGATTTTGCTCAAGTCCAGTTCTTGAGAACTACCAACCTGTAACTTTTATATACATTGCTGATGCTACACCAGTCAAAAGGCTGACTTCCCTCTCTTGCAACAACTCAGCTCTGCAGAGGAATAACAAGCCATTCAGTTGATCCGGGTGTGTAAGCGAAGAAAGCCATCTAACAGTTGCAGGATGGTAGCTCTTGAATGCTGGACTTGAGAACTCCAGATTTAAATATTCAGGGGTTGACATTCACAACATTATGGATTGACTGAGCGTAGTAGGAACAAGCCATAGAAAGGCATTCCTTTCTATTATGAACAGGAATTTCAGAAAAGCTTTGGTGAACCTTGACATCATATAATTCCTTTTCAAAACAGTAGATGGCATTTTCGTTGATAAGGCAACCAAATTGGACTTCAATTGGAGATTGTACATATTAAAAAGACAATTTTATTTCTACAATACTTCCTAAGTACAAATATGAACTCACGGTTCCGCCAGCATCAGAGGCAAAGCATTCTCCTGGATCCTGGACGGTCTGTTGAATCCCATGCTGAAGACACCTTGCAACAATTCAGGTTTCCTAACATTGAAGGCCCTCAGAGTTAGGTTTCACAAAATAATTAAATAAGCAGTAAACGGAATGAAAAAAAAGGCTTTCGCCAAAGAACTCACAGTCTGAGCTCCTGGAAAGTCTTCACGGAGAACAGAGGAGAGTTGGGATCCGCCTGCAGGACCTCAACTTGGTTCCGGTTCTTCACCAGAGAGTGACGGATCAATTTATTAAGCAAAGACTGTTCGGCCAGGTCAACTTTGTCGCCATCCCCTTCTCCCCCTTCATCTTGGATTTTGTTCTGCACCACGTTGGCTGCAGGTGGAAACAGAGACCACCACGGAAATTTAGCTCTCTTAAAACAGCTAAAATTTAATGAAGACAAAAATTATTAAATTACCATTTACGTCTTCCTTCACGTTTAATGGACCTCGTATTCTGTTGATCTTTTTGGAGAACTGAAACTGTCGAACATGACCCAAAGCAATTAGCATCAGATAGCTAACACCGTATGCTAATCTGCTAACGAGCAACTAGCAGGTGTTGTTATATAATGAGACGTTTAACTCACCTGAAATGGTGGAGTTGTCGCCTCTTGAACGTCCACAGCTAACGCCCAAGAGTCTTCAGCCATTTTAAGAAACTGATTTTTTTAAAGAAGCGAACCGACCCTTTCTCTAAAGTTTGTGGTCGCGTTGCCTTCTTTTAAATGTACTCAACGGTTACTGCTGCTTTCACAACAGTTATCGTTATAGTAATTTTAAACTCCAAAAATGGGAGTCTATTTAAAAACGTAAAATACACTCCGAATAAATTATCTACAAATAACAATTATTTATGAGATTATACAGAGGTCAAATTAATATATATATTTCTGAAAAAAGTTTTGTCTGATATAAATTGTAATAACTCGTTCAGTTATTTTTTTTTGCTCTGAATGACTTTATGTAAATATGGTTTCAACAATTTTGTATTCATTTAAAAAATACGTCTAACTCATTTGCTTTATTGCTTTTAAATCTTTCAGAAACGCCCGAAATCCTTGTACAAAGACATATTTACTCACTTTATTTGGAATACCTGAAGGCATCACAACATTTTATTTTCAAGTTTTGCTCAGCGAATTGTTAGTGCGGGAAGTATGAGGCTGCCAAAGATGCCGTCTCCGCCTAGTGGTGAATGGAGGATATAGCAATTTCCCTCATCATTCAAAATTCCTATCAAGACTGTCATTGCTTCGGAATTTTCCCATTCCTGATATCAGTAGAAAAGTCTGCATCAAATTAATTCTAAATTTGCATTTAGGCAAAATATATTTTTTTATTAAAAAATTGGTACATTCTACATTAAATATATTTCCCTGTCAATAACTGTAAAGATATTCCGACAATAATAACAATGGCAGTTGCAGTTAGGACACAATTTTTTTAGTTTTCTTTTTTATTTTCCATTAAGCTCTTCCATTCCGGAGAATCTTTGTCAATAAAATAAACAAAATAGAATAGTACAGTTGAAACTGAATCTTGATTTGTTACTGTAAAATAGAATTTAATCAAAATAATTTTATTATCCAACAATGCGGAAATTCCTGTGCAACAGCAGCAAATAAAGAAATCAAAGCAATAGATTCACACAAAGATAGAATATAAAACATATAAAAACAGTATCAAAATAACAATAACGTACAGTAAGGGCAACATTTCAAAATATATACTGTGCAGCATGGCAAGGCTCTAAAGGAAGTAAGAAAAGCTTACAATTTATGGAGCACCATAAATTCTTTTAAGCCAAAACTTGCACTTTCCTTATTTCAGCTCCTGCACATGATGATTTTATTTTTCTTATACATTATGTGAATAACTTTAGAGATACTGCAAAAAATTGACTACATTCCCCTCCGCTGTTCCTTTGGTTGTGAGAAAAAGAGACAGCGAGGAAACAAGACCAGCACAAAGGGAAGAAAGAGGGGGAGGACAAAGGGGTGAGTTCCATTGGCTGCAGGTTAATCCAATTTAGAGGCGGATGTTGAATCTCAGCTACCCACCCACACATACGCATACAGACGCACCCACACACACACATGCAGAGAGACCATGTCCACATTTACAACAGCACCAAAATGACACATTAATTGTCATGGAAACGGCATCCCCCCAGCCCCAAATGTATCAAACAAAGTGATCATAAAACCCTTAGACAGACAAATGGCCACTTTAGATTTAAAACGTTCCTGTACACCGCCTGCTTGTTGAGGTTGCATGACAGACGATGTGTGCTGTCTTCCACCCATCTGCTGCTGCTGTTACGCTGCATGATGTGCATGTTATTAAAAAGAATATCTGAATTGTTGATAGTGTCAACAAGAGCTTACAAAGAGTGTGTGGGGATGGTGCTTTGAATAAGGTTAGGAGGGGAGGTTGCTTTGGATTCTCTCTCTCTCTTTGAACCTCAAACCCCTGCATCCTCCTCTCAAGGAGGAGGAGGATAAAGAGGAGGAGACAGAGGAAGAAATAAATGAAACAGTTTCTGCAACCACATGTTGCTGGGTTTGACTGAACCACGTCTGGCTGCTGCAACAGCATCTACCCTCTCCCCTCCTTGCATTGTGCGTCTGCATGTGTAGTTCCTGCCACCTGTGGCAGCACTCCTATTCCCTCTACGCCACCAAAAGCGAACAAAAAAAAAAAAAATTGGAGAGGAGAGCAAAGGAGAGGCTGGACGAAGAGAGGATATCTTTCATGATAAGTGGACTTCTGACAGAAAGAGAGCCACGGTGCACTTGAGACAAATGAAAGGTAAGACAATGGGAAACACTAATGCATTTTAATGCTGCTTTGCTTCCGTCTGGCGATTCCTGCTTCAGACATCACTGTCAGTAGTTTTAACTGAAGGAGGAAAAGGGTCAATGGTTGAATCTGTCAGCAGATGTAAACAGGTACACTGTGCCTCAACAGGTGGTGACACAGCATGCAGCTGTCTGTTCTCACCCAAATGAAGGATGTTGTCTGGGTTCAGGGTTGATGCCTTCACTGTGTTTTTGGTCAAACCCAGAGGTTGGTAGGGTGAGCCCATCAGGAGAGAGCCCACTTTTGACTAAACTAAAACTAGAGGATATAAAAGAACAAATATCACTGATTTAAAACAGTTCAAAACAAAACTTTTGCAAAAAATAAAGCACCTTTTGCACATGTGTGGAAATAATCAAGTCCAGTTGTGCTTGTTTCCTTAATTTATCCAAGACTTGATTATGTCCAAATAAAGCTTTCCTGTCTGGTTCTCAGTATGAGGGTGATTGGACACATGATGGCAGTATTGAGATGACAGAAATCTGTAAATGCATTAAAATGTCTGTTTCTTACAGTAAAAAAGCACTTGGGAATGATATTATCATAAATATTAATGAGTTTATTGCTTATTGGCTGTGCTTATGTCTATGAATATGAGACCTGACATTAAAACCTGAAGTTTTTTATTTTTTTAAAGTGTTTTTTTCTTTTTTTGTGAGAGGAAATCACTTGTTGTATGAGATAAAGTGTGATTAGTCTCACTGTCAGATGATATGCAGAGTTTGGTCATGCTGCTGGTCAGTATGCAGGTAAGCAGGCGAGCAGAGCTGTCTCTATGGATATTGCTTTCGTCATTACACTTCCCATCAAGCTCGTGCAGAGGGACTCTGGTTGTGCAGCAGACGCAGACCCCATGACAGCAAGATTACTTGTGCAGGAGAAGGCATAAACAATAAACCGGAGCCGTATTGCAGCATCTAATTTTGTTTTAGCAAAATTGCTTAGCTTAAAATGAATTAATCTTTTATTACAGCAGCGTAATCTCAGACTAAAAAAAATCAATAGAAAAACAAAACCAATTGAAATTCTCACTAAAGAAATAATTGATTTTTACACTATTGTTGACACTGTTGTTGACTTACAATTCATTTAAGAAAAATCTTACTGGTGTATTTATATATTTACTTATTTATTTTAATCTTTACTTATACAATCTGACAGACAGGATCATTTAAGCTTGAGGTTCTTCAGAACAGGAAAGATAAGAGAGCATTGCATTCAAGGTAATCACAACTTGTTGAACATTATTAAAATTTATAAAATTGCTGCACAAAATTACTCACTCACCTAAATCTGCTCAAATCAGATTTAAATAATTTAAATGACTGAAAATGAGACAAGAAGCCTGAGTGACAACCTTGTATTGCTAAAACAGTGTTACATCTGAAGCTCAAACATTTTAAATCCATTAGGACCAGCTTTGAGAGACATGCCATCAGAATGTATATATCTTTGAGGTTTGTTAAAATTTTTAGGATTTTTCTTTGATCAGATGAGGCAAAAGTTGATCTTTTGGCAACAAACAATATAGATGGGTATGGCATAAAGCAAAGTGTTAATATGGAAAATAATCTCTTGCCAAGTATTAAATATGGTAGAGAATTGTGCTGTCATTGTGGGCCCTGGGATCTTGCTGGGCTGCATGTTGGACATCGTAGTTTTAGATTCTGATCGGTAGATTTGGCCGATTGATTGAATTTATCCATTAATCGAATTGGCAGTTAAGAAAGATTTGAGTTTGGGAAAAATCTGGATTGTGTAGTGCTTGGGCTTCTGTAGTTCAGTGACCATCTTGTTTTACAGATTGTATTTCATTGGATTTTGAATTCATATCCACTTCCAGAATGGATTATTGAAGGAAAGGTTTTTGAAAGTATTTGTTCTTATATGACATTTCTTTTAAAGAAAAAGAGGAATATATATCTGAAATCTGTATTTTACCTGCAAATTTCTTGCTGGACAGCAATGGCAATGTCACCTTAAAGTCTTTGTTTTTATTGCCAGGACTTTTTTCTTGAATGGTTTTAACACCTTACTCCCGACCTGTTCGTTTTACATCGCTCTGAGGGGAATTACTGAGGCTAAAGAACCAATAAAATGCTCCACTGACAGCTTTAGCTGTAGTGTTTGAATCTGTAATGTGTCCCTGGTGTATGTTTAATCTTATTGGTGGTGGCTGTCAAAAGTAATAAAAACAAAAAATAAGATCAATTCCTGAGCACAGTGCTCAATTTGAATGGAAATTTGGAACCTATAAATGATATTGAGAAGATATTTAGATAGAGATCTGAATTATTGGAGGTGAAAGTGTGCAAAATGTAAAGAAAAACATATTTTTACCAAAAAAAAACAGCAGAAGCACAATGGATGGAAGTCTTCACTGCTCATTACCTTAGTTTGAAACAGGTTAATGTAAAAGAAGAGCTTATCAGAAACATCTAGGCTGATGAAAACAAACTTCAGTGGTGAACAGAATAAATTGTTAAATTCCCTTTGAAATGAAACGTGTTCTCTGAACAAAGAAAGAGATGTTGTTAAATTTGTTACTGAAGCATAGTGTGCGAGCCAACATCTGTTTTCATTATCAAATTGTGTTTGTGAAATGATCGTCTTGCTCATCTGCGAAGGCCCCATGTTATGCAGAAAGATACAAAAAGTTGTGAGCCTGAGAAGAGCAAGTCTGAATCTTTTTTTCTACAAAAAAGCTTTCCTGCTTTCACTGCCAAACTGAGTGAATATATTCAACATGCTTAGAGATTTTTTGAAGAACAAGAATTGGGTGCACAAGTTTGGATTTTAATGGATTTTCCTTTATTTTTTCTAATCACCATTGTATATACTTATATGTAGTGTTTTCTTTTCTTTATTTTTTTGAACTTTCCTAATGTGCGGCATATTGCAAGTGTCATCCTAACACTTGTCTTTGACTCATGAGAACCAGACATTATTAAGTGTTGGCAAACTTCAAGTATAAATCAGACAAAAATTGCTGTAAATTCTAACTTGCACAACTAATTATTTCAAAAATACTTGAGGTTGTTATGCGATTAGTTGTGACATTCAGAAAAAACACTGTGCATTATGCAGCAGCCTCATCATTCAGTTGCAGCTTTGCAAACTTTGATATTTAACTTGATAGAGAGGATGACAGGTAGATCTGGGAAAAATATGTATTTTGTCATATGTGAACATTGCTGTTACACATGGATGTAATTCTTGGAAAAAGGTGGCAACAAGCTTATTTTTTTCCCCCGTTAAGTTCGATGCTGATGTCTTTCTATCTTGGCATTGTGTTGACACATACACTGGCAAATTATTTAAAAATCCCTGCTTTTGTTGAAGTTGATCGGTTCAATAAACAATCAGCTTAACTGTTAAAATGCAAGCTTTGGTTATGTAAAATGAGATCACAATAATTTTTATTAGAACTTCTTCCACACATAACTTTTAATATCTAAACATGACATAAAGACATATAAATCTGTTACATTAAATCAAAACAGTGTAAGTGTACACAGCCTTCAGCATTTTGTTGAAGCATGCTTCAACAAAATGCTTTGTTGAAGCATTTTGTGATTTCCGCAGCCAGTCTTTGTCAGGCACCTGTCAGCTTCCCACATCTCCACTCTGTTTTATTTGACCACGTTGCCTTGGAAAAGATTTCTAAATTTACCAGAAGGTGAGAACATATCATGTGCACAGCTGTCCTTATGTGGCTTTACAGATTTTCTGTTGGAAAGAATGTGCTGGCATTTTTGGTTTTAATTTGATAAATTATTGTATATATTATTGACAATTATTTTTTTGTTGATTTGGTTGTGGGCCCTGGTGTCAGTGTGTTGATGAAAATGAAATATATTGATTTATCTGAATGTTTTGGCTCTAAGCTGGCTGGTATTTGGAACCGGTCATAAGTTGATCAACTTTGACTAAAACCTCAGCTTCATCTGAAAAATTTAGCTCTTGTCTGTAGGCAATGTTTGGCTCTATGAGTAGAATACAACAATTCTCTCACAAGGGTTTGGAAGATTTAGCATGTCATTTTAGCTGGGAATTAAAAAAACACCTTCTTACTCTTTTCCAGCACAAGTCCCATATAAACACCAAAGAAGAACCTTTCTTTTGTTCTCACTGTGTGAAGTAAAAAAAACAAAAACAACACTTTTTGTTTTCTATTTAATCGAATGTACTGATTTGGTTCTATTTGCTTTTCAAAGCAGAATCCTAAAGCCAGCAGGATGCCAGGACTCATCAACAAGGAGAACCAGTGTGCTCTGCCCCTCAGTGTGTCTGACATCACCTGCTGCGTCAGGGGTTATACTCTGGCTCTGACGGCCTCTATGACCTACGAGAATATTGAGGATCATGCAATTGAGGGTAAGCGAGACGACTGCATTCCACAGTCAAATTGATGCAATTCAAACCTCTGAGCATCAGTCTTTTCTTCTTTCTTCCCTGAAGGTATCTTCATTTATCCACTGGAAGAAAATTCCATTGTTGTTGGGTTTGAGGCTATGATATGCAGTCAAATTATAACCCTGCAAATAAAAGGCAAGGCAAAACTTGATGATTGTTATCAGGACATCTGCCACACTGCTAACGGGTCTCTCCAGAGCGGCACCGGTAAGGCTGAAGTGACTCAGATCAATATAGTTATATGTGCTCTGCCCAAAGGCCTCTATTTGTGTGGCATATAGGGGGTTTGCTGTGATGAAAGCACAGAACAGCACATAAGAAGTCTGAGGATCTTTTCCAGCTCTGTAAAGTGTTTATGTTGATCCTAAATCAGCCCCCGGTACTGTCTGGTTCAGTGTTTTTGCAGCAGGCAAGTCATAGTCAATGAATCTACTGAGCGACATGGGCATTTATTCATATCCATGATGTATTCCTAATGAATGCATTGATGAATATTACACTTCAAAATCCTTCACGGTAAATATTGTGTATTTCTGATTAGGCTTTTGACATGACATTTATAACAGAAAAGTCATCCACATGTACAATAAAATCATATAAGCTGATAAATTAATTTACATCTAATAAAATATAATGAGAAGATTTAGAAACATGAAACAAAGTTGGGGAAAATTACATACAAAGAAATGAAGAAAGGCAAACTATTGAGTATTTAGAAAGCAATTCTACCTCCCTGAGCAGAAATTAATGTCAGGTGCTTTGTTTTTTTTATCAATAGCCTGTAAAGACATTCCTCTTTTACATGGCAAGAGTTGTTGAGGAGCCAAGGACTTGTTGTAGAGAGTTGTAGAAAAAAACTGAACTTAATTCGTACTGTTGATTAAAAAATAAAAAACAACCCAAGAAGTAACACACTCCACTGCTGACGAGAAAACACACCGTACTTCATTTAAAGTTTGCTGCAGCAACACTGATATTTGGTGGTGTGAAGATCATGTCACAGTGAATTTACTGAGATATTGTTAAATTTGTTACAATCTACCATAATTCTGAGGATGAAACAAGGAAAATATAAACAGAATATAGAATACCATATTGCGCAATAAGGACAACATTACAAAATAAACATTTTGCAGTTATTAAAAATAACATACTTTATTCCACATGGAAACAAAAAAAATATGCATGTGTATTTGAGCATAAATAAAAACAGTGCAACAACAGATATGTGAGAATGCTAGGAGAAATGTCATTTAAAATTACCACAAATGTCTAAATAACTATGCAAGTAATTGGGAGCAGTGATGAAAAGAGTCTGACAGCTGCTGGAAGGAGGAATCTATGATGATGCTCCTCTGTGCTCTTACGATGCAGCAGTCTGTTACGGAGTGACAGACTGCCTCAAGCAAAGCCAAGGAAATCCTCAACTGGTTTCAGAGAAGAAAATAAAGCAGCTGAGATTTTCTACATAATGTAATATCATCGTAAACATAGGGTATTCTACTATTTAAATACAATAGATTTTCCCATTGGCCTCTCATTTTATTGCCAATAACATGAAATACTTTATGTATGAACAATGATTTTCTTGTATTTTCTTGTAAGGATATTTTTCGATGTTACCAAGATCTGATGAATAAGTGTCCTGAATATGTTTAATGAGAAAAATGTTAAAATGCTTATTACTTATTTTTCTGTCTGTAATTATATTAATATACTCTGTCATGTCATCCTGAAAGAGAATAAAAATGGCAAATGTTGGATTAATTTTCAGAGACTGCAAGCACCATTAATAATTCAGCCCTAAAGGGTTTCTAAAAATTCACCCAGCTACTATTTTAAATTCATCATTAGGCATATCTTTAAAGATCCATTTGCAGACCAATTAGTTTTTCTGTCTGCAAAAAAACTGTGCCATAACAAGGAAGTTGCTTGAAAGCAAAACAAAACCAATTAACCAAAGAATCCACCATTAAAGTTTACTTTAAAATACATTTACATTGGTTTTTGACACGAAATAATATTAAATTTTTTCTAAACTGGAGTTACAGGGAACATACTGGTGGATGAGGACTTTGAGAGGACTGTGCTTGTGGTTAACCTTGGAATTATCCCCCCAATGGAGACGGTACATATCCTGGTCAGCACGTCGTCTGAACTCACCACTTTGCCCAGCGGAGGAATCAGGGTCTCATCCCCACCGGTTTGTACTCCTCGGGTACAAAGGACCATCAACGAGGAGCAGGGATTGTCGCCAAACTTCTCCCGAACGTAAGAGATCAAAAACCAGATGAAAAGCCAATGTGTGTTAAGATTACATTCTACTGTTTTTAAATGTAGGTTTAACAATTATTTTCAATAAGTTTGATTATAATGAGACTCAGATTAAAAATACTTTTAGATAATAGCAATAGCCTATTTTTCACTAAATCATTTTGGTTTTATGAACACTTAATATTCTAATCTTGTGTTTTCATTCACTGAAAGCAAACAATATATCATATTGACAAATAAAAAAACTTTACTACACACTGCAAAATGCAAAATCTTACCAAGCATTTTTTGTCAAATATCTTAGAACACTTGAAATTTGACCGAACTTATTTAAAAGTGACATTCAAGCAAAATATAAAAGCCTATTTTAAATCAATAATTCCTTTATATTGATGTTTTAGTTCCACTGGTAGATTATTTTTCTTCTAATGTGGAAAAAATAGGTGAAATAATCTGCTAGTGGAACTAGTACTTTTTACAAATCAAAATTATAAAATTGTTTAATTAAAACATGCTCACATTTCTTGCTTAAAAATTACTTGTAAGTTAATTTTTCCTTATTTCACATGCTAATCTGTTAGCACCAGAAACTAGGCCAAAAGTATTTTTGTGTTTTTGCAGAGTATGCATTTAGTGGCTTGAAATGCATAAATTTACTGAAATACATACATTTTAAGTAAGATATTGAACATGACTGTTGTGGAATGTTAATGTTCTTGAAAAATAATATCTTCATTTTTAGTCGTGAAAAACCCACTTGTGCCTCAAGTCCTCACGATCAGAATCCAATCGCCTCTCCGCTGTGGCTGGCAACGCTGCTGGAGGATGAGGCCATAAACTCCATGGATTATGAATTTAACTTCCAGCTGGAGATTCGAGCTCCTTACCTTCTCGCAGGTTGGATGATTTTTCTCTTTTTTTATATGCAAATATTGGAGGCTCTTAACATCTGTAATGTAAAAACTCCTACATCGTGGTGACACTTTCCGTGTTGCATATGTCTGTGCTTGTATATTTTGTCTAAAGTGATCAATTTTATTTTCGAAGAATCCTCTGTTACTTAAAAAATTTCAGTTTCATTCCATTTTTCTGCCTCAGACAGTCGGACTTTATCCACAAGAGAAACATTAACATTTTCTCTTAAATGTATGTAAGATTATTATGTTTATTATGTATGTATCAGGACTTTTTCTCGACATTTTTTGAATTTCTCAACATACTTGGGAGGTTTCTACATATCTACCATCAGTTTATTTGGAGAAAAAGACAGTGATTTCAGATGCTGATCTAAATCATAAAAAATGTAGGGGAAGGTGTTTGGTGATGAGCTGCACAAACACAGCTCACCTCCAAACATGCTTTTGCTGCAGTCAGAGACAATCCAAAGTCAAGGTTTTTTCTTTTTCTGAGCTGATCATTGAGTCTCTGACTTGCAAACTGAAGAAGTCACAACTTATCTCAGTCTCCCACCAACCAGGTTAAATTTGCAGTTTTCCAAATTTCCAATTTTATGAAAAACATAAAATTGTGTCATGACACTGGATGAATCTCACAAACAGCCATGCATATTATCTTGTATCATAATTTGTGACCCTAGTTAACGTCTGTGTAACTTCAATGCATCTCCTTTCTCATACAAAAGTGGGCTAGATTATATCTAAAGCAGGTCATTTTCTGAAAGAACAACATATCAGAAGAGTAATTAAGCTAAAATCATACAAAATGTTGCATCTAAGATGCAAAAAAATGTTGTAAACATGTTTTACTCCAAACACCCCAAGTGGCATACTTTGAGCTCTGCCCAGTTCAAATTGTGGAAAAAAAAGCCATATTTTGCTAATCAATTATTAACTAATTAATTAAAAATAATAATAAACCGATCAGGCCAACACTGTACTGATATTAAGTTGAACAGAAAAGGTTGAATTTTTTGCATGTTGCATCCTTTGAAACAAATGCAACATTACTGCAGTTCAGAAAATAAACACTTTATTTACTTATTTAAAAGAGGAACTGAATTAAATAATTGCATATTTTAATGTATTTTTGATACTGAAAAGCTTAAATAAAATCACCAGAATTTTCCAATATTTTTATCTGACTAATTGGCTAATCGATAGATTAATTGATTACTAAAATAATCTTTATTTGCAGCCCTCATTTTATCTTCAACAGCTTTTTATTCAAACTGCACAGGTATGTTCGTTGAGTTGTTGCTTGTTAACGTTGCCTCCTCGGTGTGTGAATTCCTCTGGAAATGTGTGCCCAGGATGCTGTTAGCAACTGGAGTAATTGCTGGTATTTTAGAGCCACTTGTTGTTTGCTCTGTGTAGGAGTGGAGAGCCCTTCTCATGCCATCCGAGCTGATGCAGACCCTCTGGCCCGCTCGGCAACCAGCGTCGTCATCACACTGGCCGACAAGTACACTTACGACTGCCCTGTCGAAATACTCATCTACCCCAGCGGTAGGTTTATGACTTAAAACTCAGCTCTGCACTTAGGCTTTTATTCATTTACAAGTAAAATATTCTGATACTGGCTCTTAGCTCTTTTTTCTTTTACACAATATGAGGCCTGTAATCAGATCAGCGGATTTTATCCTGACTCACAACCTTTCTTAGAGCACCTGTCCAGGAAAAAAAAAAAAAAGCATGCCAGCAGAGTCCCTCTCCACCATAAAGGAGTACACTGCCAAGGTTGTTCCTCCCATTGTGGTCTTTTTTGTCCCTCAAGGCCATCTTGATCTCCACCATGTGTGGGCTGGTTGTCTCCTGGAGGCAGGAATGAGCCGTGGACACACTGAGTTGATGGACCTCTTATGAGCACTTTGTTCACAAGCAGACCTGTGGTCTGTCTGGGACAATCTAATTCACAGCAGACTTGTGCTGCGGCTTCTCCCACAAGAAGGAGGCTCAGCTTCAGCCAGGGGATGAAGGAGACAGAGCTGTGCTTCAAACATTCACACATAGCTTTTAGCAACACCATTGTGTTTTGATTATTGACAATATAATGTGACAAGTAAGACCTTAAACGGCATTACTGTTGACATATATTATACATATTTCTAGTCCAGGTTTACATATGATGATAATTCTTTAAAATTTCAATAGCCTAAAATTAAGAAAAAATGAAAATTACTTTCACAAGAAATTCTTGCATCTATGCGGAACACAATGTTTACCAAGGCTAAAGTAGATGCAGCAACGTTAATATTTGAGCTGATGAAGTGAAGATTTATATACGTAGTTAAAGAATGCAAAACCACAAAATCTTACTAAGTTTTTGAATCTAATTTCTTGTGCCATTATCTTAGTAGACTTGAAATATTAAAAAAACTAACTTACAAGTAACTTTTCAGCAAGAAATAGGAGCTACTTTCAAGTTAATAATTCCTCCATATTTGGTGAAAAGTATAAGCAATAGCTAATACTTTTTCAGCAATATTAAGAAAGTATTGACTTAAAACAAGCTCATGTTTCTTCCTGAAAAGTTACTTGTAAATTAGTTATGCCTTGTTTCAAGTGTGCTGAGATTTTTTTGCACAAGGAAATACTAAAATACTTACCATAAAATCAGAAACATAAGGTGCACTGGGATGCATAAACATGTTCCTCCCAACTGAATGACCAAATTGCCTTTACATTAGCAAGCCAGAAAGAGTGTATTGGTCTCACATTACATGGATCAGTCAAATGGGGTCCATTGAGGTGCTGGATAATACAATACGGAGCTGTGTGGAAACAAATATTTCCAAACTTTAATGAACTGAAGAAAATAGTAGGCCAAAATTCATTCAAAATGATGTGGGAGATTTATAAAGTCACACAAAATAAAAAAGAAAAGTTGCAGAAAAGTTCCTGCTTTAAGCTGGTGAATTTTCCATTTTGGCTTAAACTTCAACTGAGTGACAGTGTGAAATTTTAATTATTTTAAAACCTGGCAATGATCCAAATTTGATTTTATCCTGATTTGTGAAATTCTATAGTTGGAAGAGTGCGCCGACTGCAGTCCTCACCAAACCTTCATCCTTTCCCTCAGCAAGAAAGAGAGAAACTTAATCCTTTTGCTCATTTAGTTTTCTTTTCTTTAGCCCCACTGTGATACAATTAACTCTACAATCAGTGTGGGCATAATTCTGTGCTTTTGGATTATCTCTTAACTCCCCTGTGAAGCTTTCAGTGACAGAAACTGACAGTTTTCATCTTGATGTCTATGTTCTCCATCCCTGTGCCACATCAGAGCCCCATGTGCCGCACGTTCTCGTCGAGAATGGAGACATGACGCAGGAGGAGTACGACGAGTATCTTCACAGTCGGAGTGATTTCATCAAAGCAACCAAGAAGGACTCCAGCAATCAGAGGAAAGTGAGTGTGTCGCCAACATTAGCTCCCTCTACTTGAACTGATGACAACGATATTATACGCATTTCCTTTCAGAAGGCATCAACATAAAAGCTAAGAACTGCAACAGATGTTTTTTAAAAGATGAATTTATGTTATTTTAATTGCAGTCTGCAGCAGAGTGTAATCCTGATATAATCATAAAACATCTGGGAGTTACTTGTATAGTTGAATATTTCTAAAACTGTAGACATTTGTAGAAGTTTGCAATAAAACAATATGGATAATTCAGTTCATTCAGTGTCTCATAAATATTATCGCCTTCATCATCTACGTAAAGTTTCCATTAAGATTTTGTGTTTCTCCTTCTTGAAGCTAATATGATACTTTTCTGAAGTAATCAAACCATTACTTGGTCTTTCTAATCTGAGGTCTTTGTCAAATTAGATCTGAGCCTTAAAAATATTTGACTGATTTTGCATTTGCTGAGACCTCCGTATTCAAAAGGTTGAATACCAATGAGCCTTTAAAAATGCATCAGCAATAATCAATTCTCCTTTTCACTGTTAAACTTTAAATGTCTCTGCAAATGCAAGTTAATCTGTTGGAATTTATTTTGCTAAGAAATTAGACTTTATTAGGAATTTAAAAAAATAGTTTCTGTGAACTCATAAAGTTTATTCTTGTAAATTTTTGACTTTGCAAACTCAGAGGTTTTTTGTAGAAAATTTCCAAATTTGTTTTGTGGAAATTTACTCATTTTCTCTCTATCTACATAACTGTTGACAGGAGTAGCAGCCATTTTGAAGCACGACGTTCGCCTTTCAAGTTGTATCTGGGATTAGTTGATTTTAGTACAACGTTTAAGGGACAATCATTTTTTCCATTTCATATGGGATTTCTCTTAGCAAGTGAAATCATCATCTGAAAACTGCTTTCTGTGTTTCGTCAGGTTATCTTTGTCTGAAAATATATATTTTTTGATGATCTGAAGCATGTAGATTTGACAAAACAAAAAAGCAAAACCTGGAGAATCCCTGTCATGGGGATAATCCTTTTTGACAGCTTTGCATACCTCAGTGGCATCGATGGAGAACATGCAGGAAAGCACTCCTCCACCTCCTGAAGTGCCTTGTTTGTCGTCAAGGCTCCTTCAATCAGAGGGAAAGGCTCTTTAGGGAAGAAGGACCTTTAAAGAAGGATGTTAATCAGAAAGGGACAAGAAGAGTGGCTCTAATTTACAGTAACATAAGAAGCTATAGATTTCTTCAGGCATTACACACACACACACCCATACACACACACCTACACCCCCCACACCCCCACACACACCTATATTTATATATATATCCAACTCCTACATATCTGCTAATCCACATACTGTACTGCAAATGTTTTATTTTTAATTAGGGCAAAATTATTACAAATAAGTTAAAATATTCTTAGAATGGAAAATGTTTGATGCAATACGAAGTATAGATTTGTGTTATTTTACTACTTAAATCTGTGGTGACACTTCTGGTTTTGTTTTGCTTATTCTGCTGTGTATTTTGAATTTACCTGTTGCTATGTCTTGTATATTCTTTTTGATCCTTTAAAGCACTTTGGTCTTCTACACATTGGTAATAAAGCACTTCATAAATAAATGATTGATTGTCAATAATGTTTTGAATTTCCTTTACTCTGATTCAACCAGAATCTGCTTTTAATTAATTTATTAAACATGCCTAAATACATCAAAATTTGATCCAAAATGTGATCTTGTTTCATAGCTAACAATGAGCCTCCAAAACTTTAATTTCTATTTCATAAGGCACGCATGCAAATTCCTTTTTGATTTTTGTGGCACACTTTACACACTCCATTTTTATTTGTTTTTTGCAAAAAATCTATTTAAATAATTGTGTGCTTAGTTTGTTGCTGTGTAGGTAAAAAAGGACAATATAATTTTTTTAGGACTGTAAATTGGTTTAGAAATTATAATTTTATTTGGTAATAATTCTGACCTGACAATTTTGTGTACATCTCGGCTCTTTGATCATAAAAGACAGTCTTGTTCCTCTGGGTCAGGGTTGAGTTCTGAGATTATCTCTGCATGGGGCCATTCACATCAAGCTTTGATGATGAGACTATTAAGTGACCAGCAGACCTAAACTGGAGGGGAAGAGCACTTAGCCATAAAAATGGGTTTCTATGGAAACACTCCAAAGAAGAGGCTCATTCTGCCTGATTTTTTTTCCCCCAGCACATTTTCAATAATTGATGTATTTTGTCAATCTGATCACTTGTGCATTTTGTACTGAATTCTCTGCAAATCCTCTCAAGTTCATTATCTCCCCAGTAATGTATTTGTGATTCTGCTCTGCTTCTTCATCCAGGTGGACGTCATTCACAGACGGCTGCATAAGGACATCCTCCACAACCCCGTGGTCATGTTGAACTTTTGCCCCGACCTCAAATCCATCTGCTCAGACCTGAGGAAAGTTCACGGAGAATTCATCTTCCTTATTGACAGAAGCGGCAGCATGAGCGGACTCAACATCCACCGTGTGAAGGTGTTATTACCTCAGCTTGACATGTCATCTTGTTTTATTAGCTGCTATTATTTACATATAAATACTTCCTGTGTCTCTGACTCTGATTTATCAAGATTAATTTTGTTCAATTATATTAGCAACACATCATTTATTTTTAAAAACAGCTCAACTGAAGGCTAATTTTAGGCGTAAAGGGGGATTTTAGTTGTGTATAACTGTGGTCTATGGATATTATATTGTCCATTCTTCCATCCATCCCTACAGTTTGTTAGCAGATTCTGTTAAGTTGCATCATGTTTAATGAATATTCTCAACCAGACTCGAGGAATTCTGAAACTTTTATTTATTTATGTGGTTTTCTTTAAACATTTATGTTATTTGACTGGTGATGGCAGCTGCTGTTTTCTCTCTCTCTCTCTCCCTCTCTCTCTCTCTCTCTCTTTTTTTTTTAATAAACTCACCTTTGATCTTTTATTGGATCTGTCAGACATCACACTGTGGGCTTAAAGTCAGTCTCAGTGGGTTTGACAGAGATGCAATGACAATTTTCCACAAATCTTTTAAAAGATACATAAAAAATCTGGAACCTTCTTTTTTGAAGCTCTTTTTCTTTTCTTTTCTAAAAGCAATTGAATTCTGAGTCGTATTCATGTTTGAATCAATGCAGCCTTGGTGCTGCTCACCTGAATGAAAGTGGAGGTAAGTGGTATAATTTCTGAAACTGCCCTTGAACTGGTGAAGAAGCAGTGATTGGTGAAATGACAAGGTGTGATGCTGCTCACTTATCAGTGCAACATTTGCAGATGAGTGATGACAGGTTTTCGTTTTAAAATCCAAATTGGCTCCTGGCGTTCTCTTCCAGGACGCCATGGTGGTTATCCTGAAGAGTTTGATGCCTGGCTGCCTTTTCAACATCATTGGATTTGGATCCATGTTCAAATCACTCTTCACAACCAGCCAGAACTACGAGGAGGTAAAAGTATACAATGCAGGCACAAAGTCGTGGTTAAATAACTTAGAAAAAGTTTAAACATTTTCATGATGTACATTCTCAAAGGAAGTCTTGCACATAATTGGAGTCAATTGCTTCCAATCTGTTTTATCGGCATGAATTTAACCAGGAGACCTTTGTTTCTTTAATCCCAGTGACATAAATCTAGTCTGCAGAGAAGAGAGCAGATCAATGGGATTAGCATCAGTGCTAAGATCTAAATCAACAAGTGCCAACATTTAGCTTGGAGGACTCTATGCTAACATTGTTTTTGTTACAGTGGGTGAAACGCTAGACTCAGGTTAGCTCAAATAAGACAGCAGTTTGTGTATAAGTGATTTTCCACTATTTCATACAAAATAAACATCTTGTAATTATAGTTGTAGTGCTGATGGCTTATTTATTGAATTTATGTTAGCAAGTTAATTCTCTTGGTTTTTATTTTGGTAATAGGAACCATGAATCAGTCTATTTATTTTTGCAAATTGACATGCTGACTTTCCTGGACTGTTGTCAATGTTCAAAATATTGTTACCTATAAAAGATGGAAAACTGGTACTTCCGTGTGACCCAAGTAAAGACTGTGGGTGGCCAACATTATGCAAGAGGGGAGCACGGCACCTCCTGCCCCCCTCTTGGAGGCACCATTGTATGATGCCATATTTTGGTTTATTAAAGTTAATTAATTATACAACTTTTAAAGCTACAATTAATAATAAGTTAATAATAATAATGATAGTAATAATAAACATTATAATGGGCATTATTTAATTTTATTTAGCATTTTCAATTTTTTTTTATTTCTAATTTATTCCTGATGATTGCATTATTTTATATACCATAACAAACAACACACATTCCATACTGTGCATAATTAATATATAATATTTTTGTCTCTCTTTTAGTCTGTTTATCTATTCTTGTTAGTTTTATTTACCTCACAATAAAGGAGAAAAAAATCATAAAACATCAGAAAGTGGGCCAGGTTTGTTACATAAAAGATGAACATGCTTTACCTGTTTACTTCTTCATGACATTTCTCTGTTCTATTTTAATGTGTTTCACGCTCATAACTTTTAATCATTAGTGATTTGGTGTTTTTAATTCAGTTAATTGAAAAAGTGCTTTCGGTAGTATCTAAGGGAATAGAGGTGTTTCTGTTTTGTGTTCTGTGAGAATAGGATTCTATGTTTCATTCACTCCTACTCACTGTCATGATCCAGGAGGCCCTGGCGCAGGCTTGTGATTACGTCAGGAAGATGAGAGCCGACATGGGGGGCACCAACATGCTGGCGCCGCTCACCTGGATTGTGAGGCAGCCCACGTTCAGTGGTCACCCCAGGCTGCTCTTTCTGCTCACAGACGGAGCCATCAGCAACACAGGCAAGGTTATTGAGTTGGTGCGCAGCCACGCACGCTGTATCAGGCAAGTATCACTGTCAACACATCTTCTTTTGTGACTCAGATCAATAAGTTATGCTGTTGTAAATGTTGTCAATATTGTATTGTTAGGTATTTTCCTCGAACCTACAATAAAATAACCACAGACAATGTATATGAATTAAATATGGTCAGGCTTCTGCAGAAGGAGAAGTCTCCACCAACAGCTCCTCCAAGCTGTTCATAGAGCGTTCTGATCTGCTTTCACGTGAGCTCCCTCTTTATTGTCAAAGAAAAACAGTCACATGGTGCAGGTCAGGAAACAACAGAGGTCGTAAAACATTTAACACAAACAGACCAACAACTCAGTTCCAGGTGTGATATCTAATTTACAATCTGAGCCCAGTTGAGCTCTGGGTCAAACTGTCACCTAAGACTGGGTAGATAAACACCAGAGAAGACTTTAAGGTCTGAGAACCATAAAGTTGTACTATCTCGCATGAAGACAGTCGTAACCTCCAGGTCAGTTTATACTAAAATCACAATAATACTTTAGACTGAATATAAACTAAAGTAACAACAAAATGATAATACTAAAAAATATCTAACAGTATAACATCAGGCTTTTTTTTATATGAGTAACATTCATTTTGGTCTTTAAAATAACATTTTGACATAGCTTTATATATTGGTCTATCTGATTATGTCATTTTTTTATGTTAAATTATTGATTTTTTTATCAGGGACATTTAAAAAAACAGGTGTTGTTTTCTTTATACTTCAACATTATGTGTTATTACTTAAAATCTACATAAATTATATTGATGTCTAAGTTGTAATGTGACAAAATAAGCTAAAGGGGTGTAAATAGTTTTGCAAGGCACTAGCTCCTCCATTTTGTAATGCTATTCAAAAACGTAGAGCTAAGACAGATTTAAATTAATTAAGACATAATCTTCCAATGCTCCACAAGACAAATCAACAGCTTATTCACAAAATAAAATCACTAGTGTGGGCTTATCTAGGTGTTGAAATGTAAACCAGGGCACAATGCTGTAATCCTCTTAAAATGAAATGTGGGAACATGGAGCCCGTCTAACCTCTTTTAAGCATCCGACATCACAAATCTGTCCTGGAGGAAACATCTGTGCAGCTTTCAGCCACAACAAAGCTGCGCGAATGCTAGAATGAAGGAATAAGAAACCAGCATGTGAGCTCCATCTGTCAACTTGCAGATGACACAACAAATCTGCATCGCTCCAGGAAGTTGTTTTATTTTGCCGCTTGCATTTAAGACTCACACTGTGAAATCCTCGTCCAGAGTCCTTTTCTGGAAATAATTGACTTTTGTATTCCCCTTTTAATGGATGACTGCCCCTGGATAATTGCATTAGGTGCGGAAAGCTCAGCCAACTCATCAACACTTCCTGGGTCATTATCGCTCTATGCTTACAAATCAGCACAGCCACTCAGAGACCAGATCAAACAAGGAGGAATCTCCAAAAGACTAAAGTCAGGATCTATACTGCCTGGAAAGTGACACACTCACTCTAATCAGCAATGCTTTATATCATAAAAAATTCAAAAGGAGAGTGTTGGTGCAACGCAATTAGCTGACCCATCCTTTTTGAGATACTGACGGTATTATGCAACTAAAAACATATTTCACTCCACTGTAATAGCCAGGAGGAACTTTAGTCCTCATGAAAGATAAAATTATGCTTTGAACTCCAAACCTTTGCAGAAGTATTCATACTCCTTAGGCATATTCACAAGTGAAAGTGAGAATAATACATAATTTATTTTTGTTTTTAGCTAATAAAAATAAAAAAGTGGAGTCTGCATTCATTTACATTTACTCTGACAATTCTCACATCCCTTCCGTAAGGAATTTCTCGCATTGGCCTGGATTGATTTTCTACCATACCAATCTGCAAAAAGAAGAAGTTGTGAACGATAACATCACTTTTCAGCGTTGTTCTATGATTACAATTGGTTTGTAGTTTCAGCAATGGCAACGGAGGAAGTGAACGAATTTGTTCAGTCTGTGTCTGACGCTTCCAAATATTGAACTAATATTAACAACCATCTTGTTTGGCTCAGCACTTCTCTCTTTGTAGTGGAGGATAGTAACTTCACAGCATTGAACTGACACATTGCATATGTCACAGAGACCAGAGAAACAAATCGGCAGGCGGGTCTAATAACCGGGCTCTTTATACCCAAATAATAAAGCTCGTCATAATTTAACTTTACAACATAGATATGCCTGCAACAGCAGAGCTTACAAGTTTCACCGCCACAGAGAATGACTGTCATTCTGAAATTAATCTGATAGAAAGTACAACAAAGCACAGCGAGATGTTTGTGTGAACGCGCGCTGCCGTTCATGCAAGCTGGACGATCTGGAAGATGCTTTTCCAGGCGGCTCCAATATAAGCCTTAACTATAAATGCAATACTGCTATCTTGGCTCAAAAACATGCTCAACCCGAGTTGTCAAAAGCGCGACTATAACTCAGCCTTCAATCCCTGACATCTCTCTGTACCACCGACAGAGAGAACAGGGGATGTAAGGCAGCTGGGCCGATACAGTTCACAATCAGTCTACAGTTAACTCAAAGTTTATGAATAATGTCAGAATTGCTACCTATAACTAGTCCGGCTCCTTCGCTGGGCTGGTGGTTTTGGTGGGTCTGAATCGTTGCCAACAAAAAAGTCTGGTCCAAGACAAGGAACAAAATATGCCTCAGTTTTTGGCTTTTCATTCCTTTCTTTTTTCCATTCTTTTTACTTTGCTGCTCCATGGAGCTCCACTCATGTCAACTTTGTCCGTAAAAATGCTCTGGCTTGTTTGCTATCTCTTGCCAAGTGACTGATGATGACGTTGATGGACGGCTAGTGACAAGCTTTACCCAGAACACACAATATGGATGTCCACTTATAATTTTGTGTGTCATAAAGTTAAATGTAAGTGAAAATAAAGCCACTCATGTAGCACAACATTTTATTCAATATTTTACACCCACTATGTCACTAAAATTAGTTGGTTTTGTAAAGCTTTTCAGCAAACATGAGTCAACAATGACTGGGGCAGCCTTCTATGTAATTTAATGGGGTACTGTTCTACATAATCCTACATACACCGTACTCGACAGGAGAGGGTCCGCTTTCTCCAGCTCTCATCAGATGTGATAAAGGCTTGGATCCCTGGAGTCATATTCTGCCTCCCGTCCAGGCCTTCTTCAGCCCCCCCGAAGCTCCACCCCTGGTCACAGACAAACGTTAGCGACTCGTTAAAGTTTAAAACTTCAACAGAGTCCATGTCTAAAGGAAACAATTGCTTCTCATTAGCCAGGAGTCTTGAAAATCTGTACAAAATAAACAGAAGAAGGGGTTGGTTTTTATCAAGCTAATTTCCACCTGTATTTGTAGTGACTATTTTGGAATTTTATTTGCCGAGAAGTTTGGGAATTTTGTCCTTTTCATGGTCCACTCCATATAAAAGGTTTTTGGTTGTAATGTGGCAAAATCTAAAAATCTTCAAGAGCTGAGCTACTTTTCCAAGACTCTGTGTGAATTGTGTCATTGATGATTGATGGAAATGTACACCCCTCCTGTGAACACATCTGTTGCTATATGCTGAAGAATCTGTCCCTGAAGGTGCTGCCTTTAATGTTTCTGTGCAGATGTTTCACATTCGGTATTGGACAAAATGCATGCCGGAGGCTGGTGCAGGGGTTGGCGGCTGTTTCCAAAGGAACAGCCGAATTCCTGGCTGATGGAGAGCGGCTGCAGCCCAAGGTACTGATTTCCAGCCTGGAGTGTCACTCATAATGACATCTATAGTTATTCTGAAGGCCACCGGAGAGCCATTATGCAGCCATTTCAATACTTCGAGTGCCTGGCACTGATACCCATTAAGACATCATATGTGAGACACCAACCCCTCTGTGAAACTATCAAAAGGAAGCTGTGTTATTTCTATGTTTTTACTCCATAGATGATAAAGTCGCTGAAGAAAACTATGTCCCCGGTACTCAGTGACATTTCCATCGAATGGCTCTTTCCTGAAACCAAAGAGGTGCTGCTCTCCCCTGTTGGCAACACCTTCCTCTTTCCAGGAGACAGTCTGATTGGCTACAGTGTGGTGTGCGACACTACCCGTTACCACGACAACCCCAAATCTGTAAGACACCTGTTGAAGGGTAGCAATTAGGTTAATTTATCAGTGGGTCAGAAAAGCAACCTTTTCCGGTTTACAAACTGTCTTGTAAAATTGCTACTACTGCAAAAACAGTTTGAAGGTAAATCCCGAGTGGAAGCCCTTGAGAAATATTTTCTGAATGGAAAAATAAATAAATGAAACCTTGTGAATTGCTTGATCAAATAAGCTAAAAACCACTCAACGGAATGAGTCACCTGCTTCACATCTCAACAGGATAAAAGGAGGCGATACAGCATGATGCGCTCCATTGAGTCGGCCAGCTCGGTGTTTTACCACTCACAAGAGGAGGAGGTGGGGAAGTCGGGAACAGACAGTCTGGGGTCCCACCGGGAAGCACCCTCTGGCACGCTGCATGACTACTACCAGGATGCCATGACAGAGAGTGGCCTCGTCATCACAGAGCCAGACCTCACCGGTAAGAACTGCACAAGCGGATTTCCTTTCGCTTGTTAAATCTGTGGGTTTTATCACAAAGTGCAGGAATTTTTACTTTAATCAATAGTTTACTCATAGTCAGAGACAGAGTACCCAAAAATTACACTCAAGTAAAAGTAGCACTACTCCAAAAGTTACAAGTAGCCATCCAGGAAATTACTCAAGAGTGAAAAAGTATTTGGTAAAATGTCTGCTCAAGTACTGAGTAGACATGAGACATGTACTCTTTATGCACAACTCGGATAAAATCCAAATTAAGTAAGTTGTATTGATATCTAATATCAATCAAATAAGCTAAAAACCACTCAACGGGATGAGTTACCTGCGTCACATTTCAACAGGATAAAAATAAACATTTTTAAGAATATAAATAATATTGAACTTGTAGTCAATTTCTTTGGGATCCTACCAAGCACAAATTTATACCTGCTTATGTATGGGACTATGTATTAGTGTGCAGGGTATTAATTTGTATTAATACCCTGTAAACTAAATGTATTATTATTATTGGTACATAAGTGTAACATTGGTTTCTAATGTAGTGATTGTAAATTTTTTAACTCAATGTTTAGATGACACATCACCAAGGAGACGTGCATACAGCACAAACCAGCTCATGGACTACAATCCAGCAAAGAAATCCTTCACTCCCAGTGACCCCAACTCTGTGGTGCCCAAGAATCCCCTGAGGAGGAGCAAAGTCCAGGACCTGACCGGCCAGATGAGCCCTGAGCAGGAAATGCAGTGGAAGAACGACTGCCAGGTATGACCTGTCGCTGAAAGCTACCACTGAATCAGGTCAACCATTTTCCCTACATCTGATTAGTGAGTGCCGCTTGTTTAAAGACCCTACCATTGACACTCAAAATAAAGCGCTAGCATGTAATTAAAGCAGCAGATTGTGGATTTATCTAATGATAGAGTCGTCATACTGTCAAGTAGAAAATGATATTTGCATTTAGAATTCAGTTGGCAGCGAAGGGAGCTACCTGACCCCTTCTGGATTGGAGTATAATCAAGAAGAGACTAACATGTCCTTCTCAGTAATTAAGGGCACAATTATTGAATCGCAATTACGTTTGAATAATTCAGGAAGCAAGTTGCCATGACTAAACAGTATTAGCAGGAGGAAGCCGTGTCTGCTCCAGGTAAATCCCATTGAAGAATTCTTGCTTAATCTGACTTAATGAATAATTATAGCAAATCTTTTATTTGAATTAAAGGAGGTCATAAGACATGGAAACCTTGGGGCATTTGAACTTCTCAAGAGGATAAACAATCCATCTGTCAGTCTGCCTCCATTTATCTGTCTAATTTGTGTTTTGGTACACAGCGAGCTTCTGCTCTGTTTCTTTTGATAATCAGATAAATCAAGAAAATACTGCTAAAGTATTCATGCTCTGCATTTTGTCACGTTGCAATCACACCGTTCGGTGTATTTTATTTGACTTTTTTTAATAATAAACAATAGAAGAAATGCTGCATATTTTTGAGGTACTGAAAATAGTCTGGCTCTTCAGATCTTATTATTAATATTTTAAATAAGTTTTTATAAACTAAAGTTTATGGGTATAACAGGACAAAAACTGGAAAAATTCAAATTACATGAATACTTAATCAAGTCTCTGTGAATTTCCAATTTTGGGCTTCAGGCTGTGGGCATTTGTTTTTTCTTTCATTAAAAATTACCAGCAGAGTCTCCCTCTCAAACATCCCTTGATGCGATCAAAAACAGAGCTTGTTGAGCTCACAGAAATGATCAGAATAATAATGAGCTGATATTGTATCTCGCTTTATCGACCCAATAATGGCACCTGGGTTTTCCGGTTTTAGCCACAGCTGGCTGGTCTGTGTGCCCCGTCCTTCAGAGGGCGACCTGGCACCGTTCACACGCCGCCTCCACAGCAGGAGGATGACTCTGAGCTTCATTCCCAACCCCAGCTACAGGATGGCCCTCAGCCAAGCGACAGCACTGGGGTCCCTGTGGCTCGCAACCCTGCTGGGGACGATGGGTCCAGATCGTCCACGGACAGCCCCTCTGTCGGCAGCATTGGAGACACAGGTGACAACACAAACACAGCCTTTCTGGTTTAGTGGGAAACATTTTCTTTATGTCAGATAATGTGTCAAAAACATGTTCACTTGTTAAGTCTGTCATTTTAGGGCAGAATTCATACTTACTTCTATTAAAAGCCCAAAGTTTAGTACTCTAGGCATATCAGTGGTTGCTATACAAAATTATAATCAACTTTGTATGTGAAGAGCATGAAAGAAAAAAAAAATTTTTACAGTTCACCAAAAGTTGAGTGTTATTTTAAAGTGCTGAATCCAAAGCTCTACTGTAAAATTGCAGATTAAAGTTTTCCATAAATGGGACATATGTTCAGAGCCCCAAGTAGAGGGGGCTTGTTGCGCCAATGCCTCAATAACTCTACGTTGAGTAAACTTTGTCAATGTTCCACTAATGTTGAAAAAACACAATTTTGCGATTGTGTTATTTCCAGTAAATAAGAAACGCAGTTAAAATCACACATAAATAACTTTGTTCACTCGATAAGTCATTAAAAACATGTGGTCCCATGATCCACTTATGTCCTGTTGTCTTCTTCTTCCTGGTTTGGGCCAGTGGCAACATTTGGTTTTTGATCCTGTGATTTTTGTGATACAACAAAATGTTTCCATTGGAGTTTTGACCTCTGCAGTATAACAATGAGTGAGAATCACTTGCTTGGCTCTTTAGTGGTTAAAATTATATTTATTTTCACTGAAAAGGTCACATAAAATTGAGCTCCACTTCATCTTCTGTGACCCCTTTGCCATGAGGTGTACCACATGGCTCTATCCTTGGGCCACAGATTTATTATTTTTTTTGCCATCTTTCAAAACAAGATTTATTTACATATATATATGCTAATGACTGTCAGCTATATTTTCCTATATACAGTTAAACTTCTCTTTAATTGTCTCTGTGATGTTGTGGATTGGTATATATTTATCTCTAACCTTTGAGTAAAAATAGATACTGTCCTGTGTTGTAATGTATTTTTTCCTTCACTTATTATTTTTCTTGTATTATTTTTCTTTATATCAACTTATTTCATTATCATTTTTGTACAGCACTTTGATGCAGTTTTTAAAGTGCTATATAAATAAATTTGATATTAGTTTTGATAGTCATTCATGCCTTTAAATCCTCTTGATGGGATTATTGCAATTCACTTTTATTTGGGATCAGCTAGGGCACAGTGCCAAATGTAGCAGTGTGATTTTGAAGTGGTACAAGAAAGTTTGAGCACTTAATAAATAAAATATTTTATCTGCTAAATCTACTTTCTTGAATTAAATTGTTGCTTTGCTGATATTTCAGATGGATATGGCCACCAGATGTGTCAAGCAGAAACCCCTCAAGAGACCCACATGTCACATCTGGGGACCACCATCCATCACAAAGGAGACTGCAAAGCCGTGGTGTCAGGATTGCTGTGTGGGCAACCCATGAAGTGGGAGGTGGTTTTTGACATCGAGCCGTTTTTAAGCGGCCGGGAACGCGAGGAAAAGGTTCACGAGGAGCTGTGGAACGAGACGTTTCACCACCTGGCCGGTAGCTCCATCATACACGACTTTGAGCACATGGCCGATAAAGAGTCTGAGATAGAACAAGGTGAGCTTAGAAACTTGACTGACACAACTGGAAAACAATTTTAAATGTCAAAGGATGAGGTTTTCAAGTTTAAATGTCAAAGGATGAGGTTTTCAAGTTCTATTAACCACAATTCATATTTTTAATTTGATGTGTGTATTTTGTACAATTCATTAAAGAAGTAAAACATCATAAAATATAAAATTATTTAATGTATCATGGTTTTTGTATTTACTGTATGCTTTTTTTTTATTTTCAGGTTCTGGCAGGAAGTACCAGGTTTACGTTATTCACACTAGCAAAGCCTGCAATATACTGAGCAAATACACAGCATTTGTCCCCATTGACTTGGACACCAACGAGTATTTGCCAACAAGTGTTGAATGCATTAATGCAGGTAAGTTACATGGCTCAAATTCTCCTGTGTGAAGTCACCCCCTCCCACTTTCTTCAAATTAAATAAAGTTGGTGTCAAGCATTTGTGCTGCGTTTGTGCAGCAAACATTTCATTTCACTTTAAAGATATTCATATTCATTCGCTATCGAAGGGCAACCAAAATCAGCAACTAACATCTGCAATGGTTTGTGCAACAAAACATTTAGTTTGCGCTGTTACCAGAGATCAACCCGGCTCCAGAACAGTCAATTTGCTTCCAACTTAGTTTGATTTTGTAAATATGGGATTGGTTGAGGCTAAATTGTACAGTTTTATGAGTTTTAACTGAGATAATCAGTTTGAAAAGAAAAACATAGATCTGCTGTGTTGATTGCACTCTGCAGAGCCAAGCAGGGTTGTAATGACTTCCATTTTTCTTGAAGGTGCAAGACTGAAGAGGGGCTCCAGGTCTCGTTCAGGAAGCAGGAAGAACAGAGGATACTCCATCGGGCTCGGTCGTTCTCAGTCCGGCGGCATGTCAGAGGAAGCTGAAGATGTCCTCCTGCCTTACAGTATGTGGCTTTGCTTAGTTTTCAAGGCTTTGTGATGAAGCCTGCACATCACCATAATCAAGCACAGGCATGAAAGTAGCTGCAACAAATCCTTTTTAGTATGAAATATTAAACAGGACAAGATTCTAAAAATAACACCAATTTGAACGGTAGTCTTTTGGCTAATAATCGAATGTGAGACTTGATGGAGAGGGAGTCCTCAATAAAATACTTGAGAAGTGTTACTCCTTTGTGTTGTTTGTATCACACATCCATCCGCTAGGGGCACTGTTTTGCCACTGTTATGTTTTTGGGTTTGTGCTCTTCTTCTGCTCTGGTTGTCTGTTCAGGCAATGTACATGGCGGAATAAAGTTGAGCAAAGAAACAAGTTATTTTTACTGACTAATAAGAAGAAGTGATTGATTGTTAATTTCCAATTTGAGTGTAACAGACATTATGTTTTCTGAGTTTAACATTGGTTTTAAACCACTAAAATTAGCCTGTAACATCAGCTTACAAATAAACATTTTCATTGATGTCATTATTAATGTTGTTATGAATGTGGTAGGAAAGCCAAAAATGTCACTTTTGTTCTCATCTTACAAGAGCTATATTCTGTCCTTGCATAACCTCGTGTAAAATGGAAATACGACATCATATGGCTATTTTTCTACAATAAAATGAATGGCTTGCAAGCCTAATGAGTTTTTTTCTGCCAATTTTGGCAAAAAAGAGAGAAAAAAATCCCTTTTGACAAAAATGACTTAGGCTATGACAATTTTAAAACCATACATCATTTTCTTTCCATTTCAGAATTCTACACTATTTTTTCTTTACCTTTCATGTAAAAATGTAAGTGTGTAACATATCTGTGAAAATGTCAATATGTTTGAAAGACACTGTATTTGTTTAAGTCAGCTTAAAACAGCTTTCACTTTGGAAAGAGCTGTGTGCTATATGGATTTCTCAGAGAACTCCGTGAGCCGTTTTATAAATAACAACTTCAGCAGCAGGACACAACATTTTTAAAAGGATCCTCAGTGATGGCATAGCAACAGCACTAGGTAATGTGGGCAGGAGATGCTCAAGCATATGCCGGTTTAAAAAAAAGAGAAAAAACAGACGGCTTAGATATGGAGGAGATTTAAGGTTTTAATGATTCAACTGTTGGAAAACTGACAATTAAATGAAAGACATTGTTTCATTTCTTGTTTTTGTCTTGCCTGACTTTGAAATTCCAATTTTTAGTTTACGTAGCAAGCAAACTGAGTGAATGATTTCAAACCAAGGCCATATCAAACAAAGTGACAGTCTTATTTGATGCTGGAGTTTTTGTAAATAAACTGACATAGAAAAAATGTATCCTTCTGTGATGGTTCTTTAGAAAATGATTTCAATTCTTGTTTCAGATGCAGAGGACGGTGTCTCTCCATGCAGCACCCCTTCCTCTGCCGGCTGGGACAAATGCAGCTTCACAGAAGGTAAGCACATCAGCAAATTTATTGCAATTCCTCAATTTTCCCCCCAATAACCTTTGACATGCAACGTCTGAGTGGATGTTGCCATTTCCAGCCTCACACAGCAGGATTTTCTACCAGCTATCTATCAGCTGGTGAGAAATTGTAAATCACTGACATTACAGTTCCTATTCTTGTAGAGGTTAACCAAGGTCGGCAGTTTTTATCTTGGCTCAAACTGACTATTTGTAATATGAGAATCCACTGGAGGCGCAAATATAAACGAGACATATTTCACCTGGAGAGCACAGAGATGCTGGTGTGTGTTGAACGTTTTCTTTCATCACTATCACATCTCACTGTGCAATAGTTTTGTTATCTACCAGAAATACAATAAATAGACCTCTGCTTCTTTTCTTTTCTGTCTGCCTCTTTATCTCCAAGTCGCCCCACAAAGGAGTCCATCTGTTACCTCAGACCAATCACAGAAATCAGTGGAGAGCCTTTTTTCTGCCAGGTATGTGATGAGAGTTCAGCTGGTGTGTAAATGTACCGTAGCTGCATTCAGTGAAGAGCACCAGGGATTATATGACTGCAATTTGACATTTTAAAAAATATATTATTAATTTTGGAAAAATCAACTTTTTGATAAAATGTTCTGGTGCAAGAATGAGGTGGTTTTCTGGCCGTATCAAAATTAGTTTATTTTTTGCATCACCTGAGTCACATGATCAAGCACCAGATGTTGCCACAGGCGCAAACCACAAAGACGGGAAGTAGTTGTGGGAGGATAATGGCTTTTTAATGTCTTATCGCATGAACAAACTTATTCATGTGTGATTTTAATTGTGTTTTTTATTTAATGGGAGTGTCTCAAATTGTGTTTTATGAATATTTGTAGAATATTTATAAAATTTTGTGCATATTTATGATGAAATGGAGCTACTGACAGACCAGAAAATGCTCTAAATATGTATTTGGACATGTAAGACATTCTCTCAAAGAATCCAGGAAATATTTTATCCATCACCAGTTGTTCTGTGTAATAGAAAATTATTATGATAATTTAACAAATATGACATTCTGCTGATGTTTTCATCTATTTAGCATAAAATACTGTTGTGATCTGTGCAGCTGTGTTACAGTTTTCTTCTTTTCCTCAAATGTAGATTCAGGAAGAAAAATAGCAAGAAATATTGTGACTTCATGACAAGTTTCTATGGCAACAAAGTGTATACCAGTCATTTTAAAATACTGATTTTTCCCTTTTTTTATGCAGTAATGGTTTATGTATAAATGAAAATAAGTAAAAATACAGCAAAAAAATTAAATGTGAAACTATGAATTATAAAAGATAAATTCATAAAAAAATATAAACTCTTGCATTATTATTGTACAAATATGTTCAATCTTTGTATTTTTCTTGTTTACCTAACTTCTTGGTCCTTATATGAAAAAGATAAATAACTCAGCGAAATATTCAGAGCAAGCATCTGAATGCACGCACAGTGTTTGCTGCGCTTTACCTCTCCTCCGTCAGGCTGGCCCTCAACAGGACTCGCCTCCTGACCCGAGCTGCAAAAGGATTCATGTGTCGAACGCACAGCAAGTCTGGCGATTCAACAGGAGAAAGTGAAAACGAGAACAAAGACTACATTCCCCTGGTGAGCCCCAGACCATTATTTCAACATGCAGGTTTGTATGTCACTGAAATGAATAAATGGCAGAAAATGTGAACAAGAAACACCAGGTGTTGAATGATGAGGTGTACACCATCTCTCCAAATCTATTCAGTCTTTGGTTTGCAATGTGCATCAACTGTAAAAGGAAACATTATTAAATTTAGCTCACTCTGAAAAACAAAAAAAATACCAACTGTGGTTCTCAATGCACATTGACCTGCATGTTTTGGATGTTCCCCTGCTTCAACACACCCCAGTCAGATGATTGCAATTCAATAAAGACCCTGTTTATCAACCATCAATTAAAATGCTGTGTAAAAAAGGAAGTTAAATTAGAAGTGGGCTGAGAGAATTGGTCAAAATTCAATAAGTTGCAGTCATTGGTCAGAAAAATAGGACGCACAGAAAAAAGTAAAAGCGATTGGTCAGATTTGTGGAATACCTGGACTAATAGTTGAAATCGTAACATCTCTACTTCCTGGAGGGACTCAGTACTGGCTGTAGGGTTTTCAGTTTTGTTCCCAACTGTTGATAAATTTGCTATCAACTTTATTTATGTCAGTGCAGAAAATATAATTGATTTAGCTTTTAGTGTTCCATTGTGGGCATTGTTATCATATGCATTCCACATCCACCTCTCAGAGACTTTGACTGATGCTTTAATTATGCAACACATGCTGGCCAATTCATTGCTATTTAACGGAAAGAAAAAACACATTTTGAGAGTAAGTACGTAGAATAAAAATGTGCAGAAAGACTTTTTCCTCCATAACAACCCAGAAGTCTGTAATAAGGGGCTGATTCGAGCTGAAAACGACCATTGTTATTAGAATATATAAAACTGCAGATGAGGAGCTTGCATGCAAATCAGGAGCTCAGGTGCACCCTCTCCTCTTGTGTTATTGAAGCTGCGCTTGAAAGCAAATATAATTGGGAGATGATTTGTAGTGTAAATACGATACACCACTTGAAAATTCCCTCTAGAAGGACTAACAATAGAGAATAATTTCACTCCCCTCTGCAGGTGTTGTTGCAGTTGGGAAACGGTGCATTTCCTCTGGACTCAGCTCTCTGTGAAGCCATTAACGTGCCGATGGACAAGCTGAAGTGGACGTCGCCTTTCGCCAGCCACCGCTCCAGCCTGGGCCACCTGTCTCACTCCGGCAGCCGGCGCACTGACGGCACCGACGACGGGTCCAGATCGCCGTTCGAGCCAGACCTTTATCAGCCGGCAGCAGATCACTCTGCTGGCAGCAACAGCCCCTCTTATTCATCCAGAAATGCCTGGCCGGACACGGGCCAGTCCACTGCCTTTGAACCCCAGTTTTTCTCAGGGGGCTCAGAAACGGCGTCACCTGGCAGCGTGATGAAGAGGATGCAGGATCCGGAGAGCATGGTGTGGGCAACGGCCGTCGCCCTGGCCTGGCTGGAGCACAGCTCTGCCAGTTATTTCACAGAATGGGAGCTGGTGGCGGCCAAAGCCAGCATGTGGCTGAATGCGCAGGACATCCCAGAGGGGAAAGATTTAGCCTCCATCAAGGCTGCTGCCAATCAGCTCTTCATCATCCTCAGACACTGGGATGAAAACCTGCAGCTGAACATGCTCTGCTACAACCCCAGCTCTGTCTGAGGCCTTAAACAAACTCCATACCAGATGATGCTATGCTAACCAAGGCTGTACCATCACAGTGACGTTGCAAAAGTATTCATAAACGTTATTTTTTTCACAACAGCCTCAGTGTTTTATCTTGTCATCTTGTGTGATAGACCAACACAAAGTACTGTTTTGTTCTGAAGAGGAACGAAAATGCTGCATGATTTTCAAATTTGTTACAAGAATTGGCAGAAAATATGTAATTAAAGTCACATATTTACCAACTTAATGACAAGAAAGACATTTAAAAAGTGATTTTAGTGTCATTTTGTTTTGGAAATTCAATTAAATTGTTCCATGAAATAAATTATATTTAGTTATTAAGAGTGATGCAGAACCCTTTTCCAGACCTAAATCAAACTGAGAATCTTTCCAAAACTTGAAAATTGTTGTTCAGTAGCTCTCTGTTCAATCTGACTGAATTGAACTATCCTGCAAAAATGTTCCAGAAGTAACAGCATTATTATCTGGTTCTTCAAAGTATTAACTCAGGGGTATGAAATAAAAATGCTGATTATCACCCAATCCGGTGCCTTCCAATGGTAATGAATTGAATTTAGGGGAACAGAATAAAGTGTTTGGCATGCCTTTCAGATTTTTGCTTCTAAAAATATATTAATCATGTACTTTTTTTTCCTATTACACTACTTTGTGTTGGTCTGTTTCATGAAATCCTGTAGATATATATTGACCTTGGTGGTTGTAATGTGTCCGAATGTTAAAGAAAAAAAAACAATCCAAGGTGTATTGATGCAAAGCACTGTCTACAGAGCAGTTTGTTCTCTGGAGTCAGATTTTTCTTCTCCTGTTGCAGTGGTGAACAATGTGTGTTTTGCTCTGTATGTGCTGTTCCTCCTGACATATCACAGGCTCGTCAGAGACACTTTTTCTAAGCTGTAACCTCGCTGGTGCCAATGAGTTTGTGGAGAATCAGTGTTGACGTTTTAGCATGTTGGACTGGTCTTCATCAACATGTGAGCAACACTGCTGTTGTCATATTGATGTTCTGGCTGGAATGCTGCAAAAATAGTAATAAGAAAACATTTTCTTCAATTTTTTGATCCATATTTCCTGCATTTTTGGATTTAGCTGTGTCGTAAAAGCAAAGATTATTTTACGAGGAAACATTTGGGTTCTCACTAGTGGTATTGTCCCTCTTTTATCTTGTGTCTGTTACTATTAGTGCTATTACTACTTATATTTTTGGTTTAAAGTGTAGCAGAGACTGAAAAATATGCAAACATCTAAGGAAAATATTAAATCTGTACGTGGCCATATATATATATATATATATATATATCTGGTATAAATGGAAGAATGTGCATGTTTTCATTGCTTTATTTTGGTGAATTCTGTGATTATTTTTCTTTGAATGATTTGAATTTACATGTGTTTCATATAAGAAAACATAATTTTTGATATTTCCTCAAAAGAGTAGTGTGGCTGTATGTTCAAGATTAGTCCAGTTTAAGAAATTGAAAGTTTAGTCAAAGGTGATACTTCATTAAAACTTTAGGAATTTAGTTAAAAAAATTAAAGCAATTTTTAATATACATTTTTACTTATTAGGATATTCAGATGTTTCACTTTAACTAACTGAACTAGAATATACTTGAGCCAATTAACTTGAACATACATCATTAATACTTGGCTTTTTGAACCATGAGGTTGAGTTCAGGATTTTTGAAACACACAAGTTAACAGCTCATCTTCTCATTTCTGTCTCATAAATGTCTAGCTGCTGAGCACTGTGTGCTAACAGGAGTGTGCCCCTATTACTGTCTGTCAAAAAATCTGCTTGTCTGCTTGGTGTTATAATTTGCTGCTGACTGAGGACTCTTTAGTGCATTATCTGTGCCTCTAGGTCTGCATGTCTGACACGATACCATTAACATTTGGCAACTTTCCCTTCTGTTTATCCCTTCACTGATTTTTTTTTTTAGTGGATGACATATGAAGTATTCAAAAGAAAATAATTTTTGAAGCTGAAATGTCAACCTGCTTCACTTGCTATTGGGTTTGGAAATCAGCCAAACCAAACCACTGATTGGTTGATCCCCATGATAGCACAGATATGGAAGCCCATGAATGTTAGCTTCCATCATGGTGCCAAAATGGTTTTCTCAATATGGTTTTCTTAATATTAATGAATATTAAGTTATATTTTCTGTTTGAACTATTAAAAAAGGCAGTTAAAAGTGTTTTGGAGGAAGTCTTAAAGGAGACCTATGCAAAATTCACATTTTGCATATTTGTATACTTCCATTTGGGTAACAACTGCTTCTAAAAGCAGTCCAAGCACTTAAAAAAACACCCAGCCATCTTTTGGCAATAAGTTAATGTTTTATGGTGTCTGGAAAATTAGCCATTTCAAAAACCTTCCAAATGTAACATCTTGAATCAGCATGCACTGCGCTGTCACCTAGCAACTCCAGTGAAACCCAGCTTGTCACCTAGCTAGAAGCTAGATGACAAGCTTGTAGCTAGGTGACCTAGCTATAAGGTCACCTAGCTCCAAGGTCACCTAGCTACAAGGTCTATTCTGTAATGCTGGAGCTCAGCAAATATGTTGAGTTCCATCATATTTGCTCAGCTGGTTTTACTGCTGGGTGCGCTTAACAATGGCTGCTGGAAAAGACAAGAGTTTTGTTGTGGACTTATCATCCAGAAACCACTTTCTGCATCCTTGTTGGTTGTGCAGGAGATTCTTCTTCTGCTTTTCATAAATGTGTAAGTTCTAGTAAACTTTGAGTTGGGGTTCTGATCAGCAGTAGATTGTTTGGATTTAAAATGAAAATCTCATTATGAGCTTTATTTATTCAAAACAAAGCTCAGATCTATCCCGACCTGTTCAAGGAACCATATTAGGTCACTTTTAAGTATTTGTGGATTTTAATTGTGTGTATAATTGGGAGTCTTGAGCTCTGAAATGAACTAAAAGAAAAAGCTTTTCAAAACAAAATGTTTAAAAGTGTAATCAACAACAAACCTTGGCAGCTGCCCATGTAAGTGTAATCTAGGGCAGGCTGAAATGCTGCTGCTGCTGCTGCTGTGTGGGTTAATCTTGTCATATTATGTCCTGAGTCTAGTTAGTGAGCTTAGCAGGCTCAAAGCATCAAAGCACCAACATCAGAGAGAAATGTAGTTATTTATATGTGAGATGTTCCAGTGCAGGTAAGGAAAGGCTCTGCTCATCACACCACCAGCTACACACCTCCACAGATGGAAGTTGTCAAATGTGTGGGTAGGTATAGGTTACAAACTCTGAGTCTCTGCTGTAACTCTCCAATTACCAGGAAATGGTGAGCATTCATTTGAAATTCTCTGCAGACTCTACACTCTAATTTAACATGAAAAGGAAGTTCTCATAGCACACGGAAAAAATAATTCACGCAGCAGCTCGATCAAATGTTCAAGACTAGAAGGTAAATGCTTAATTAACCTACGATGTTAATTTGAACACAGATAATAGTTGGGACTTTTTGATGAATTCGAAATAAACAATAGTAAATGATTACACAAGGCAGAATATTTCTTCTATTCTGTAATGCTCCTTCTGATCCCATCGAATTGATCAGATCAGGTGAGCAAGGCATTTTTTATCATACGAGGTGAACTCCCACTCATTCGACTTGGCCTGGTATTTTCTGTGGTTTCACTTTGACAGCCTAGTGGTAGCTTGGAAAAGTTGTGTTGGAAATGTTCATTATAACTACAACTCTTTTTCAGACTGGTAGCAACACAGCTTCATTCAATATCAATTTAATTGGTCAGTTAAAAAAAACTAAAACATAACTAAATAGATCTGATTGACATACACAAAATGTTAAGCTCATTTTATTCTGCAACATATATATGTAGTGCCAAACTGTTCCAGAGTTTGTGTTATGAGCATGTGGATAGGCCAGATTGTTTTTGATGTATCACATTTTTCAGTAATCAACATCAAACCATCTTGGGCTGAAAGTTCAATGATCTATACAATCTATGAATGTCCCATAGTGATCAAAAATAATTATTAGCTGAATCAATGGGAAAATAAGCTCAACTACCCTGCTATGTCACTCACTTTAAGCATTTACTATGCTGAGTTGCGTTACCAGTAGTTGATTATCATGAAGTTTTTCAGCATTTTTGCAAAGTTTATAGTAGTGATGCCTGTAGATGGCATGTATTGCATTCTAAAGATGTGACGCTCAGAAAACTGAATTTTTTCATGTGTGAAAAATGGATAACACCCTTTTTTAGCTGAAGATCAGTCTAAGTAGGAAACAGTGTTCTCACATATTCTCTTTGTAGATCACTGAACTAAGCAAGAGTAGGAACTGATTTTGAACTTCTAACTACATGGAGGTTAATTAGTTCAAATTAGTTCAAAAGCAGCAGTTACTGTCCAATCCTCCAGAACAAGTGCAACAATCAAGACTCTTTTCATGGAAATTGAAAAGTGAAAGACACTATTAATTATCAATGTCAAAACTCATTTACCACAAGTGCCTGAACTGAGTTCGAAGTCAGCAGAAAATATCTTTGAACTTTTATACATGTTTCATTTTTTCAGCACAGCCATATCTGTTTGCAGTTATTATTAATTCCAGTTAATGGGATTTTACACTGGAATCAACAACAATGCCATATGAAACGCTTGTTACCAACCATTAAGTTCTGCTGATACTGATTTTGAAAAACAATCATTTTTTGCTCTGTTTCTGAAATAGACCAAAGTATGTTTTAGTCAGTGGTAATAAAATTTGCATCATTTGAAGTTGTAATGATTTCTGAATTAGATGAGTGATTCTGTGCAACCAGTAGAACCCAGCTAGTGCATCCCAGCTCACTAAATTTAGCTAGCATATCAAATCTTTGCTGTTTTTATGTTGTTGGACTCGCTAATATTAAATCGTTTTCCTGAACTTAGAAAATAAAAAACGAGACTTTTTAAAGAGTTGCCTCTGCAGTAACAGCATTCTTCTTTTATAATTACTCTTTCTTTTGGTATTCACATAGTATTTCATTACTCAGGTATGTTTATTTCTACTCAGGCTGAGTTGCATGAGTCCTACATGAACAAAAGCATTTCATACAAATTTGGATCATTCCTACATATTGAAGCCAGTGGTGCGGCGTTTTCCTTTCTGAAATTTAATGTATGATTTTCATGTTATAATGTAGTATAACTGTGCTGTAATTGCGACAGTAAGTGCAGCTGTAAAATTGTATTTTTCATGTACCGAGTCAATTGTATAGTGTATTGTCTTTCAAATTGCTGTTTGTGCCTTTATAAATGATTGTTGACCATTTGAGGCCATTGAAAGCTTCTATAGTGTCTTTCAGATTGTTGATGTTGTATTAAACTCTACAGGTGCATGAAATAAATATTACTACAAACAAAATGTGTGCATATATGCAGTATGATCACACATTTACTAGAACTCTCACAAAATGGATTGAACTTGGAAGGTACACTCAGTTTGGGTCTAGAATAAAATGCTGACATGTTCAATAAATATGGCTCCTACTTAAGGTTTGCTTTGTGAAAATCTAACTGCTTTTGTAAAAAAGAATTTGTCTTGCAGTATTCAGACCTTGAGAGTCTAAAACTTTAGTTTTAGCATTTTGCAAGTCTCCTTCCATGGGTCTATATGAGGTAATTTCTTCTTAAAAACAAAATTAATTCTCATTTTATCTGCAGAATCTCTTAAAAAAAACGAATTTTTCCAGTTTATCCGGCATTCTTTAATATGACATCTGACAAAACTGTATGCTAAAAAATATTATTCAGACCACATTTTTCCCTACAAACATCACTCTAATAATTTTTTTTAGATGGTATATGATTGCATTTTTCCTCCAAACATGATGAATGAAAACTGCAAAGACTGTAAATAACCTACTAAATCTTAACTTTCTGCTTTTTGTCCCTTGGACAATTCTTCTGATTCCTCTTTCGACTGTTAGAAATTTTGCGAGGATCACCTGCACATGGTTTGTTCATGGTGAAATGATTTTTATTCTGTTAAAAGGACAAAAATGGCATGAAAGAGAAAATAAATGGAAGAACCCACCTCTTTACCTTAAAGTGTAAGGTAAAGAGGAAAAAATATAACTTAAATATTGAGGAAGAGTTGTAAAGTGACATGAGGACCAGATGGAGAAATACGAGACAGCTGAGGCAAGGAGAAAAATCAGATGGAGGAGACTAACATGAAGAAGCTGAAAAGTACAAAACCTGACTATAATCTCACGGAAA